TTTCAACATTCAACATTCATTTTCAACATTCAACATTCGTTTTCAACATTCGATTTTCAACATTCAACATCCGTTTTCAACATTCGATTTTCAACATTCAACATTCGTTTTCAACATTCAACATTCGTTTTCAACATTCGATTTTCAACATTCAACATTCATTTTCAACATTCAACATTCGTTTTCAACATTCGATTTTCAACATTCAACATTCATTTTCAACATTCAACATTCGTTTTTCAACTTTCAACATTCGTTTTTTCAATATTCAACATTCGTTTTCAACATTCAACATTCGTTTTCAACATTCGATTTTCAACTTTCAACATTCGTTTTCAACATTCAACATTCGTTTTCAACATTCAACATCCGTTTCCAACATTCAACATTTTTTTTTTTTTGCTAAACTTTTTTTTTCATTTTTTTTTTTTTTTTTTCAACATTCGTTTGCAACATTCAACATTCGTTTTCATGTTGTAAACGTATGTTGAATGTTGAAAATCGAATGTTGAAAACGAATGTTGAATGTTGAAAATGAATTCGGAATGTTGAAAATCGAATGTTGAAAACGAACATTGAATATTGAAAACAAAAAAAATTGAAAAAAAAAGATTAGCAAAAAAAATAATTGAATGTTGAATGTTGAAAACGGATGTTGAATGTTGAAAACGAATGTTGAATGTTGAAAACAAATGTTGAATGTTGAAAATCGAATGTTGAAAACGAATGTTGAAAGTTGAAAATCGAAAATCGAATGTTGAAAACGAATGTTAAATGTTGAAAACGAATGTTGACAGTTGAAAATCGAATGTTGAAAACGAATGTTGAATGTTGAAACGAATTTTGAATGTTGAAAGTTGAAAATCGAAAATCGAATGTCGAAAACCGATGTTGAATATTGAAAACGAATCTTGAAAGTTGAAAATCGAATGTTGAATGTTGCAAACGAATGTTGAAAAAAAACAACTTAAAAAACATTTAACAAAAAAAAAAAATTTGAATGTTGAATGTTGAAATCGAATGTTGAATGTTGAAAATGAATTCTAAATAACGAAAATCGAATGTTGAAAACGAACATTGAATATTGAAAAAAAAATTAAAAAAAATTGAATGTTGAAAACGAATGTTGAAAGTTGAAAATCGAATGTTGAAAACGAATGTTGAAAACAAATGTTGAATGTTGAAAATCGAATGTTGAAAATCGAATGTTGAAAATCGAATGTTGAAAACGAATGTTGAATGTGGAAAAAAAAAAGAAAAAAAAATTAAAAACCAATTGTTCACAGAACAATTGAAGGTCTTTCCACATCAATTTTCAAAGTTATTGAAAAGATGCTAGTTCCGGTTTACTCAAAGTTAAAATTGGTATCCAATCATAAGTTTCTTCAAACTGATGCGATAAATGAATGGTTTCTATATACTTTTGAGTGAAATAAGGGAGATAATGTGCTTCTTCCGGTGAAGTAAACGTCACTTCCGGTCTCATTTGATAGCTTCTTTTACACTGATTCCAAAAATATATAGATTCTATATACTTTTGCATGTAAAACAGGAGATAATTGGCCACTTCCGGTTTGTCGAAAGTCACTTCTGGTCCTTAGTGATAAGTTTATGTATTTAAATTACAAAATATATGGATTCTGAGTACTTTTCCATGAAAAAAGTGCAAAAAAGGCTACTTCCTGTTTTCTCAAGGTCACTTCCGGTTGACATTTTTCAAGGTCATATGTCACCAAACCTTTTGTAAAAGGTCATATGGCTTTATAATGAACCAAGTTGAAGTAATAATCAATTAACCTTATAATTAGACATTTCAGGGGCACTAGCTCCTATAAGATGCCTTTAGATTGTTTCAGACCAAATGTAACATATCTTCATTACAATAAAGCAAACATTTTGCACTTGTTCTTTCATATATATCTTTAAAAGTGTTGGAGAAAATGCAAAAACAAGGAAAAGTCAAAATTGAGAACTTGACCTTGACCTTTGACCTTGAATTCATTTTTTAAGTTAGGACCTACGGGCCTCAAATAAAAAGATTCCAGGGTTATACGGTTAAAGGTTTATGAGTTAAAAAAAACATACCGACAAATTTTCTTGGTAAAGGTAGATAACTCCTATAAAATTTCTTCGATCCAAATTAGCCAAAAATTCCTGAGGATGTAACAAACAATTTAGAAAAAGAATTTTGTCGATATCTTTTTTTGTTATGAAGGAGATGCACACAGATGATAAACAGTGAATAGGGAGATAACTCTTGCAAAGAAAATGGTTCGGCTTAGCAGGGTGAATTTAAAAGCGCATAAACTATACGATACAATATGAGAAATATCTAAGCGACATATTGCGAAACAAACATTTATCGCAAGAACAAAATTTGGCGGAAGAAAAAAAAAAAAAATAATAATAAATATAAATCAATTGTTTTAAAAACAATTATTAAACAGTCTTTCCCCTCCGAAACATGATTAATTGGTTGGTTGGTTGGTTGGTTGATCGATCAATTGATTGATTTATTGATTGATTGATTGATTGATTGAAAGTTTGCATGACACTCTCTCTATGCGAGGCATCGGACTTGACGTTCATATTCTGACCTGGCTGCGTACTTGTACATCCCGTACTCCCTAACGGACAGCCTCAGGATTTCCTAATAAATAAAAATCCTAACATCTTCTTTTTTTTCTAATTTTCTCTATTTGCTACGAGAACTGGTACTTCATGGTTTCTTTTATGTGTTGTGTGTACATTTTGTTTCAACTTGTAGGGAAAAAAAATGAGTACGGTAACATTTTGTCTTGGAAGTTTCACTTTCCATATTTGGATATGGATCTCGAATGTTTTAATCTAATTTTAGGTCCGCGCGCGTGATGATGTTTTGAAGTTACGTGACGCTCGAATATATATGTCTGGAGTTAGAATATTAATTTCTTTTCAGGGGAGACCGTTGAACAGAGCACATGTGTACTGATCGGACAAACATGATCACTATTGGTTTTATTATTTACAGGTCATTGATGACGGATCATGCATGCATCTTAGATACACATGTTTACGGGAGCACAGATTTGTATTTTAATGCATGATTAAAAAATTTGATTGTAGGATTTCAGCAATATTTACGATTTTTCTACGTCATTGAATTTTATTTCTCAATCAAGCAGACAGCGTCTAACGGGAACATGAATTGGAGCCGATTTTTGCAGGAATTAATTTCTATTTAAGAAGTTTGTACATCAGAAGGATTGCATTTTTACAGTAAAATGTACAGGAGTGAACTTCAAGGCGAAATGGGATTCCTCAAAGTAGAAGAAAAAAAAAAAAAAAAAAAAAAGGGGGGGGGGGGGAGTTGGAGGATGGTGGACCTTGGTTGATAAATTAAGATAAGATGCATGTATACATCATGATAGCTGCAAAGTTTGAGGCTATAATTAGTTCATTTTGTTCATTTTACTATTTCAGTGGCATGGAACCCCTAAAACAATGACGCGTACCATTTTGACAAAAACTTTCCAGTTATATCATGTCGCGACTAACATTTTGGTCAAATTTTTTTTATACGGCTTACGGTTTACGTGTTACAAAAACATAACGACAAATTAATTTGGTAAAGGCAGATAACTCCTTTAAGATCTCACTGGATCGCTTCGATCCAAATTAGGCAAAAATTAATGAGGATGTAACAAACAATTTAGAAAAAGAATTTTATCGATATCTTTTTTTGTTACAAAGGAGATGCACACAGATGATAAACAGTGAATAGGGAGATAACTCTTGCAAAGAAAATGGTTCGGCTTAGCAGGGTGAATTTAAAAGCGCATAAACTATACGATACAATATGAGAAATATCTAAGCGACATATTGTGAAACAAACATTTATCGCACGAACAAAATTTGGCGGAAGGAAAAAAAAAAAACAAAATTAATAATAATAATAATCAGAACAAATACAATAGGTCTTTCCACAGAAAAGTGGAAAGACTTAATAATAATCAGAACAAATACAATAGGTCTTTCCACAGAAAAGTGGAAAGACCTAATAAGAAAAAATTGAAAAAAAGTTTAACAAAAAAAAAATTTTGAATGTTGAATGTTGAAATCGAATGTTGAATGTTGAAAATGAATGCTGAATGTTAAAAATCGAATGTTGAAAACGAAAGTTGAATGTGGAAAAAATAAAAAAAAAATTGAAAAAAAAGTTTAACAAAAAAAAAATTTGAATGTTGAATGTTGAATATTGAACCAACTTGACATCCATTACTCAAAAAAAAGTATGATGGTTGTGGGGAGGAGGGGGTTTGGAAGTCCTGTCCTACCCTCCCACATCCGTTTTAATGGAATATCCCTAAGTTCTTGTATGCACCTTTTGTAATTACTGGTATACTAATTGAGATAAAAGTGGAAGGATTGAGTTCTTAAAAAAAAACCTATTTAAAAATTGCCACATGTTCATGTACCTGTCCTATGTCAGAAAATTTATCAATGTTTGTCTTAAGTTATATCTTAATGTTATAGTTGCAAATCTTTGATAGCCAATATTAAATGTTTTCCATCCTTTTCTAGACTCAGGGAAGTTTAGAGCTTCACATTTTGTATAAATAATGTCTATTGTTGTAGTTTGTTAACCTCTAGATGTCTTTGTTTTTTTGTGGTTGTCTCATTGACATATACCTCATAAGCATGCCACCTCCCCCCCTTTTTTTTTGACTTTATTATCTTTTCATTCATATGTCTCTTTTGCCACTCTACATGGTTATTTGTCATCTTTCATTTTTGTGTAATTTTTCACATCTTAAGTACCCATGATTCACTTATAAAATTTATCATAAAGAGCTTATATAATTACTTATCAATAAAAGAAGATGTGGTTATACTGAAGCGACAGGAAACCAGCAACATAAATCACAAAAGACATGTAGTCTACTTGTCACCATGGGTATAGACAAGTTATCAATAAATTTAGCAACTGCTAGATAAGCCATCAACAACGAATTCTTAAATGTCTTCAACAAATCTTTAATATAATTAACACTGTAGATAATGAATTTTGCTAACTCAATTCATCTTGTATAATAAAATATAACCTGATCAAATACATAAAATGTTGGCTTCATTAGTTTTTTAATCAGTCTGTAGATATGACAAATAAATCTTTCTATTTTTTTCCCTAGACATTGAGTTAAAAGTGTTTGCTAAGAAACCCCAAATTTGTCACAATATTATTCAAAAATATACATGTAAAAAAAAAAAATACTACCGACAAAGTATTATTATATTTTTGTTTTTCTCTAACATTTTATGAATTAATTTCTTCCAACAAAATGAATCTAAGAGACACCCTTTACCCACAAAAAATCTAGTTTTTCTAGCGTTAAACCAATGATTGGAAAGTCATTGTTGTCAATGAAGCTACCAATAATGTTAACTCATAATGAAATAAATACCAACCATGGCCATTTACATTACTGGTTTATTGGGTTTGAGACATTTTAACACAGCATGAGGTTTAAATTCATTTTTCTATCTGTCAGCATAACACCCACCAATTGGAGAGGTCTAAATAATTAACGTACATTACCGTAGTTCATTTAAATAAGTCAATAACATAACAAATCAAACAAATATGGTAAGTAAAAGAATATCTTAATAACTTTGTTCATCTATAACCGTACAACAACATATTCAAACATATATAAGTATATAAACATTGAGCATAACTACTGTAAATTCAGAAATTATTGCGTGCATTTATTTTTGCGATTTTTCAAAAATGCACAAGAATGCGATTTTAATTATTGCGATTTCAGCAAAATCTACATACAGATCTATGTTTCAGTTATCAAAATGCGAGTTTTTATTATTGCGATACTCACGTTGTCGCATTATTCGAATTAATAAAAACCTAGCAATAATTTCTGAATTTACAGTATATATAATACTTCCTACGTGTACCTAAATTCTCAATTCTTTTTATATATTATTAAGTCATTCAAACTTTTATGATATATTTTAAAATAGACATACCGGTAGTATATGTCACTTTGGCACAAGTAAATATATTTCAATTTCAAATTCTGTTTTCTCTGCTATCAACAGTCTACCAAATTTCATTACTTTTTTGCCATTTAAAACCAGTAGGTCCAACTCTACTAATCACACTTGTTATACAAATTATCTGGTAATAACAATAATTCTTTAAGATATTATCCTATCAGAAAATGCCACCATCATAGTTATCTATGTCTAGTAAGGTAAGTTGTTTGTGTTATAATATACCCCTTTCTGATGTTGCTAATAGCTTCTATCCTTTTTTCAATTTTTATCTTTGAAAGCAGGCTTTTAAAAAGCTCTTACTTTCTATTTTTTTTTGCTATAGGACATAACAAATATCATGCATATAAACTATTTCTATTGTTCACAATTTTGTCTGATAACTCTCCAGTTTTAGGTTCATAAAAAAAAAAAATTCATGAAACATAACTCAATATTCATTCTGCCTTAATGGCTTTAACCTATAACACATATAACAAAATATATGGCAACTACTGTTTCATCAAAACTGATTATCACACATAAACATTCTTTAAAATATTAGTGTTTGGCAAGTTCACATAACGTAAATTTTAATAAACAATACTTCTACAATGTAACAAAGTCTTCTGATGCTATGTTACCTTTACAGGTGATGTCATGATGCAAACATTATTAAATTGTCCATGTAATGTCCTAGGTCATGTGTTCCTATGATGATTGATTGACTTCACCAAAAATTGATAATAGTGATCGTCCCTGTTGATTCTGGAGATGCTGTGACGATTTTTGTTTCCCCGACCCACATCAGGTGTAACAAAGAAGGACACCTATGAACCATATTCATTAACTTTCCTGTCTGAAATAAACAAAAATAAACAATGAAAATAATTTAGTGTGTCTGAATTCTGAAGCGCTTTTCCAGATTTACCTTCATCAGGAATGATGAAGCTCACAAATTTGAAGGCCAAGGATTTATAACTACTTGAATATCTATTATTTTACTCCAAATAAATTTATGAGTACTGCTCCTTTGAAATGAATTTATTATTTTTGATACTTTTCAGTACTTTTGAGGACGCAACCTCTCCAATACATGCTTCTCCAGATGTTCATGAAACTTTATCCATTATAAGATCCTAACATAAAGATGGGCATGTTAATAAGGCATCCTGGTCTCTTGAAAAATCACAGAGTTATGCCCCTTTGAATTTCAAATTTGTAATACTATTCATGATCAGTATACATTTTGTAGACCCACCTCCTCCTAAATGCATCATCAGATGTTCATGAAACTTTGTGCAATGGGAGATATTAACATGAAGTTTACATTTTCATAAGTAATCACCTTTGAATTAAAAATTTTGAAAAATATTTCATATGCAAACTTTAATTTTTTGTTATAGGACATTTTTTCCTTAAATATGGTTTTGATATCAGACTTATGAACTTGATAAAACATTTTGTTCCGAGAAAAACTAAATGCTCCCCACACAAGATGAATGGTCTCTGCCTACATAAATTTCATTGGCATAAATATATATCTATTTTCAAATTTTGAATAAAACCTTTGAATCATATTCCTTAATAGTTTGCTCAATATGTTCTAGTAAGCTTTCTGTTACTCTCTTTTATGTTGTTCTTTGTTTTTCTCCTGTTTATATTTGTTTCATCTATCTTTCTCTTTCATTCAAAGTCACTCTGGCCTTTTCTGATTAGTCAATATACTTACTTTAAAATTCCAAATACCGATTTTCTTCTGGTCCCCACCACTTACAAGCCTATGATCATTGATATATAGACATCTAACTATCCCCAGATGTCCAGTCAGTACATATTGGCATTCACCTAAATAACACATATAAGGTCATAAAAATTTATTTTTTGATTCTCATTCTCTTTCTTACAAATAAAAGCAATTGAACAAATAAATAACAATAAAAATTCTTACTGGAAAATATACAAACAACATATTTCTGGTAACAAAATAATGTGGGTTTGAGGGACCAAGAAAAACCTTGGCCATTTTCTATGAAAATGGAAAACATGATTTTATCATTTCTCAAAAGATAGTAATTTGTGATGTAAGATTTTAACTAACTTTTCTGTACTGTGAGTATGTGTTAAACAGGTTCAGACACTTTATTAATTAATTATATATAATTTCAATTAGCTGTGATGTTTGTATATGTGAGTGCATTTTGGAATGGAGGGAATAAATCAGAAACTGATCAATAGTCATGCAAAAATGAGACCATGCAATAAATAGAGACATAATTCTAATAATATGAAGGTGCAATTTAGCAGTTGTTAAGATGGATTATTGTTATATATTTCCTGAGATAGAATTTTCTTATACTTTGCAAAAGTGTAGATTTTTTCATACTTTTTTCAAAAACATAATAAAAAGTATGGGTCACCTGCTATTTTTCAAGCTACAAGTCGTGCAAAATAGCCAAAATTTGCATAGATTGTTCATGAAAAAACACATTTTTGTGAATAAAAAGAAATCTATGAGATAGAAATTTTTGAAATAAAATATGAGAAGATAGGTTTTAAGCTTTTAAAATATGCTTTAAGAAAATAAAAATGAAAAATGGTGTCACAGACCTTGTTTTCTTGCTACAAGTAAAAATTGAAAATTTCTCTATCAATCCTTTTTAAAAAATTTACTATTTGAGTTATCTACCCGTAAATGGCCAAGTTGACAATTTGATTAAAACATACCCAAATATTTTGATATTTGTTAAATCAGTCTGAATAATGCAATTAATCACTTATTTTTCTTTATTCCAACAAACAGTCTAACACATAATAGCCAATCTGTCTCAAAATTTGAAGATTTAAGCAAAGAACTAGACCAATTGTGAACTGCTATTGTACAATCCAAGATGGCGGTATATAGTTAATCTACCTTAATGATTGTCTGTTATTTTTTTCAGGGAAGAGGGCCACAAACTCTGTCCTATATTCCTACCTGAATGAGACCAAATTCTTATGGTGCTGTCTGAAGCTCCTGATGCTATTACATGCTTGTTGTATACAAGACAGTACTGAAAAGAAAACTACATGCTGAGATCATACACAACGAATAACAAGCATGCTAGGTTGATATAGTGAGATATGTTGTAGGTATTCATATGGGCACTTATTGCGCCTCTTTAATAGCAGACTTGTTCCTTTATTGTTATTAATCACAGTTTATGGCCAAATTAAAATAAAATCAGTCTAAATTTCATTTAATTGATAAATTTAATTCCACTCACCATTACCTTTATGATATTTTTGATTTGAATAATAAAGAATACTCTAATTACACCGAGAAAATTTACCAGAGGGCATACATCTAATATTAACAGCAATATTTGTCCTTTTCTAGTTTTGATTATTCCATTTTCACTAAAAAACAAAAATTTATGACACTAAGGACGATTTGTCATGCCCTTTTGTCAAATTGTCATGATTGTTAATTTTCCTATTTTGGCAGTCTTGCTCTTTTGGCCCCCTCTTATGATGTGTATATTTGTCAACTCGTTTGTTATTCCCATGTCTGCGATGAATGTAATCTATATATAACTAGCAAATTATTAAGTCTGTGAGGGATGTTGTTTATACAATAAATCTTGAAAATTACTTAACACTTTTAATAAATTCTTTCATAGATACAAAGATTTGGTTTTGAAGTTCGGCTGTACCTATAGAATTCTTATAACAAACGGGATACCAAATCCTAGTTTTTTTTTATGGTAATGTTGTTTACAAAGCATTTAAATTTTAATACGATCAATGTTAACTTACTGATCCTTTGAATAAATTTATTCTTAAAGGATATCACTTTAACACCTTAGTAAGATCTTTGCATATGGTTTTCATGGGTACTAACATTGATTTTGTTTTTGATAAATTAAATTAAACAACTGAAAATGTATTGCTTTTCATTTATGAAAAATTTTGGTTCTACATCCTTTCAATGTTATGTACAGGGGGCCATGTGAGCTATAAATGAATGATAAAAATATTCTTTTAAGCGAATACACATCATCACAACAATAACCATAAACATTTTAAACAAAGAAATGTGCAAATCAAAAATATAATGAAATGGTTTGTGAAGTGTTGTAGTGCTGGTATTTTGCCTAAGTGATACATTTCCATGCTGTTTTGATGCTTTAACCAGTTATGTGATAAGGTTAATTAGTGTCATTGGTCATTTTGGGTTATTTGGAGAATATGTTGTTGAAGACAGATCTTTGATAATTTCTGTTTAATATATTCACAACTTTTAGAGACTTTGGATGCTATATAGCTTGACATGTTTATATACACTTGTCAATTGATGAAGACTTCATACTGCTCCCAGGTTGTCTTTTAAATATTTCTGTCGTTGGGTTTCAGTCTCATTACCTCATATTTGCTAAACTATCAAAAGTTATCTATGATTTACGCTTCTTCAGGTCAGGGCCTAATCTAGGATTTTGGAGAGGGAGAAGTGACTTCTCCTTCCATCAGAGAGAAGGGAGAAGTGGTCAATTTCTTGGAGAAGTGAGATTCCATTACTGTTTCAGTTGCATTTTGTTCTCATGCTTATCACTAAGGAAATTGTTTTATATGCAATAAAAAATATACTTGCAGTTTTTTCATGTTGTTGTACAAAATGTTTATATAGAAAGTTCTTAATAAAAAGGTTTAGACAATATAGTTGTTATTTATTCATTGATACCATTTGTACTGTCAACTTGAATTTAAGTTTGAATAAAATTTGTTGCTAGCTAGGGACATGAGGGAGTAGCCTAGTAATATTATGAGGCATTAAATTCATGTGCATCTGCCTCAATTTATTTTCAAATGTCCAGAAAAATATGACTCCCAGTTTACCTGATGAATTTCACATAACTGGGAATTTAATTTATGTCACCACTTGTCATTATTTTGTAAAACATTATTGAATGTCCAGGACATCATGTTACATGTAGTTGTAAATTGAGATTCTCGTTAAAGATTGTAAGCCTATAAATGAAAATATCTGTCAATCACATATTAATTAACCGATAAAGAGCTAATTTCTATCATTTTTTTAAAGATGTCTTCCCTATCAATGAAATGGTCGTGAAAAAAATTCACTGCTGATCACAGCTGGTCGAGTGTCGTACGTTTGCAATCACATTATCCATCAGCTGTCTTTCTACCTTTAATATTTCAATTTTTATTCAATGAATATAATAAATCTACCGTTAATTCCCACCCTTAACCTACCGAATAGTACAATTTGATCGACTCATAATTAATAAAAATAAAACAAATCAGCTGAGTGATTACGCAACATCCTCAGATAAAAATCGTCGTAAAATGATAACTTTAACAGACAGTCAGTTTTCCGTTTGAATAGTTTTGAAAGTTATATCCGAGGATGTTCAAAGTCGCCGTTGTATTTATTTAATTTGATCGTCGACAGTATTAGTCCTGGGTCGTTTAGAAAATCTCGATTTTCCTTGTCAGTCGCCATTTTTTTTACCTGGGAGACTTGTAATTCACAAGTTGTCTCCCTTTTACTGATTTTCATAGCGATTTGGCTTCGCCATCAAGTCAGTCGGCTGGCGAGATTTAGCGATTTTCAAAATTCTTTGGCGACTTAAATCGTCATTTCGCCGGCAAGATTATGGCCTGCTTCAGGTTGAGATTAAACAGTAGAACCTATGCCATTATACAACCATTCTAAAAATTTACTGTTTAGGACCATTCTGGGTTTGGGGTTAAATGTTTGGTTGGTGAACCATGAAATTACCTTTATAAAAATAAGGAGATGAGGTATGATTGAAAATGAGACAACTATCCACCAAAGTTCAAATGAAACAATTATCCACCAAAGTTCAAATGAGACAACTATCCACCAAAGTTAAAATGAGACAACTATCCACCAAAGTTCAAATGAGACAACTGTCCACCAAAGTTCAAATGAGACAACTATCCATCAAAGTTCAAATGAGACAACTGTCCACCAAAGTTCAAATGAGACAACTGTCCACCAAAGTTCAAATAAAGTGGATGTAAGCAATTTGTTTGCTACCTATTTCTGGAGTAACCATGTTAATTTGAATATGACTCTTACCATTCTCCGGTGAGCGAACCCTTGTTACAACAAGAAAATATCTCCCAAACATATGTAAATCTGATTTAAAAACATACCAAATTTTCCAGTGTGCCCTCCAACACATGTTCACAATAAGTAGATGTCTCAAAAATGCTTGAATCTGAAACATTCCATTTCTTCTGTGTATGTCAATCAAACACATGTGTAATATACCGTTAATAACCAGATGATTGATGTGTATACAAATCTGATATACTTACTACTTCACCTGTGTGTCCCTCTAACACATGTGTACAATAACCAGATGATGTCTCCCAAATGCGTAAATCTGAATCGGCACTCCCACTGACAACTTTATACTCATCAAACTGGCAACAACTCACAGCTGAAATATATAATGCTGAATTATTCTGCAACTTGATTAGGTACGTATACTGGAGACTTGATATCATTAAAATCACATTCACTGTACCTAGCCGACATAATAGGATCTGCCTATTAGTAACATAACAGATATCCCATAGTCAATAAAATGCGTCGCTGAGCGCAGCCTGATACTACCGCAGAGGTCGAACCCTGAACAGTTGGGGCAAATTTGGACACAATATTCAAGCTTGATACTGTCTGAATTTGGATTGTGATCAAATTTTTGACATAATATAGGTTTCTGACACAAAATAAATGTGGTCAAAGATCTTATAAATCCATTGCCCAATACTGTGCAATTGAAGATTTCTTCTTGAAACTTTTCAAAAATTCGAAATTTTAAAAATTTTGAAAAAAAAATATGAATCCCTTAAAAAAATTGGGAAAAAAATCCCCCGCCCCCCCAACTTTTTGAAACCCCCCTTGGAACAACAACCCCAAAACTCAATCACAGCCTTTCCTTTGTAGTATGGAACCTTGTAGTACAATTTCAGAGAGATCCATACACTTGCACACAAGTTATTGTCTGGAAACTAGAAAAATGCTTGTTTTTGGCCCTTTTTTGGCCCCTGATTCCTACACAATTGGGGCAATTAACCCCAAACACCAATCCCAGCCTTCCCTTTGTTATATGGAACCTTATGGTACAATATCAGAGAGATCCATACACTTACACACTAGTTATTGTCTGGAAACTAGAAAAATGCTTGATTTTGGCCCCTTTTTGGCCCTTCATTCCTAAACTGTTGGCCCCATAACCCCTAAAATGAATCCAAACCTTCTACTTGTGGTATTTAACATTGCGGTACAATTTCAGAGCAATAGAAATACTTATACACAAGTTATTATCCTGAAACTAGAAAAATGCTTGTTTTGGGCCCCTTTTTGGGGCCCTAATTCCCAAACTGTTGGGAACATCATCCCCAAATTCAATCCCAACCTTCCTTTTGGGGTATTGAACCTTCTTAAAAAATTTCATAGAGATCCATTCACTTAAACTAAAGTTATTGTCCGGAAACCAATGTGTCTTCGGACGACGACGCAGACGACGACAACATCATACCTTTATACGATCCAAAAATATTTTTTGCGGTCGTATAATAAAAACTGCTTATCATCCTCAAACACCCTAGTTCAAATTAAGTTCTTTGTGAGATTTGTATTGCCCAAGCTTCAGTTATGCAGTGGAAGATTTAATGAAAGTTTGTCTTTCCATTTTTTTTACAGTTAGTTTTTTTTTAGGGTTGGAATTTACAGTTTATTAATATATATTAATAATGCTAAAAATCTTGAAACTTATCTAATTCATTTAAAAGTTGAAAGTTCAGTTAAAGATTAAAACAAAACAAAATCTCTTATATGCAAACAAGTTATCATAATGTATCCATGACAACATTTTATACTTATCTTCTAAATGACCTTTACTTGCCATAAGCAACATCCTGGGGGTCATTGGTGGTACAGGAACTGCTTACCCTTCCAGAGCAGCTGAGTTAACCCCTGATTTTGGTGGGATTCCTGATGCTTAATTTCTGTGAAGTATTTGATAATTCTTGCTTGTTAGTCATTTTTCTTTTGGATGTGGAATTGACGTCTTTTTTCCAACTGACAGTTTATGATTGCTCCCTTGGTATCCCCCCCCCCCCCCCCCCCCTATTTTTTAAACACTTGGACAAAGTTATAATTTTCAGATTACAGGCGCAACAAAATATACTAAAAAAAACAATTTATTATCATACATCCATGAGAGCATATCATACTGACCTTCAGAATGACCTTCAAAAACTTGGATTGGATTATCATTTTCTACATGGTAGAGAACCATCAATTTGTCCCATGAACAAGTTAAAATCATATGTCCACAACAATGCATACACTGAAAATATTAATAAGGAAAACCATTGAGAGAACAAGAAAATCTTTCAGCAATATGAAAAAATTGTATAATAATATATAATAAATACTTTATTTAAAGAGGGTAAAATCAGTTAGTAAAATACTAATCTCTCCTGATGCCCTCTGAATAACTCAATAACTGAATGGTGTCTTCCCGATTGTCCCACTTTTTGAAATTACAGGTAAAAAAGTAATGAAATTTTGTGGGACAATCGGGAATATGTTTGTGGGACAATTGGGAAGTTTAAATGTGGGACAATTGGGAATTGTTTTGATAGTGATTAATTTGTTTTTATAGTGTGTTGCAGTTAATTAAAGGTCACTAAACAATGTAACTTATAAAATATGAAAAAAACATGAACAAATAATAATATTTACATATTTCATTTTGCACATAGTAGGTACAATTTTAGTATCATCAAACACGGAATATAATATGAAGTCATAAAATTTTAGTCTTAGATGCATATTTTTTTTAATTAGTTTTTATTGGCTTTGCACTAGCTGTAAGTAACTGCGAATACTCTCAGACCTGTTACAGTACTCAGTGTCTTCGTTGTGGTGATGCATAAGTAGCCGTCCACGTCCACTCTGTGTTTTTGTTAGATGTATTTCTGTTTGTACCCATCTGATGAGAAAAGCCTTTTTCAACTGATTTTTATAGTTTATTCTTATGTTGTACTGTTTCAACACTGTTCCAGGTTATTGTGAGGGTTGGCGCCTTCAAATAAGTTTAACCCCGCAAAATTCTGTATGTGCCTGTCCCAAGTCAGGAGCCTGGTATTCAGTGGTTGCCGTTTGTTGCTGTGTAACATATTTATTTTTCGTTCATTATTTTGTACATAAATTATGCCATTAGTTTTCTCGTTTGAATTGTTTTACATTTGCCATTTTGGGGTATTTTGTAGCTATGCAGTATGAGCTTTGCTAATTGTTGAAGGCCGTATGGTGACCTATAGTTGTTAATTTCTGTGTCATTTGGTCTCTTTGGGAGAGTTGTCTCATTGGCAATCATACCACATCTTCTCATTTTTGATGGAAGTCTGTTTCTACTTTATAGTTGGTGAAGAGTCCTGCTGACTGCAAAAGCAATGGGAATATTGGAAAAACAACCTTTAATAGTGATTCTTGGAAAGGCTGATCTGGCAAAATTATAGACATCAGCTTCGTAACAATAAAGACAGTTGTTGGGTTCAGGTGAATCTGACGTTGGGTGTAAGCAGTCTTCAATAGTGCAGAGAATGTTGTATTAATGTCCTCCGACTTCCCTAGTAAACAAGTTCATGTAGAGTGTAGAATGTAAATGAGTTTATACCTTTTTTTTTGAAATTGCATGCATTATTTCTAAATTTATTTAAAAACTTTACAGAGAAAAAGGAATTAAAATTACGGTATTGACATTTGTTTTATGAATAACGTAACATTGTAGATATATTTCATAAATCAGAAATATTATATTTTTTTGATCAAAAGTGCATTAATCTAATTATTTAAAAAACATTTTTTTAATACTTTTATAAAATTAATATTAAATGTGCAATAATTATTTCTTGTTTTTTTAGCAAAACAAACAACAGTTACCTTGTTTATCTAAGAACATTTTATTCATAAAATAATGTGGGACAATCAGAACTTTTCATGTGGGACAATCAGAACTTTTCATGTGGGACAATCAGAACTCTAAAATTTTAAAAAGTGGGACAATCGGGAATAAACCAACTGAATAACCTGGCTGAGATGTCATCATGATAAGGTTTCAAGTCAATTCCCTCAATTATAACTTTGAAAATTGAAATATTTAAAATATGTTTAATGTTTATACAAACAGTTCAAAATGATGAGGTAAGGAGACTTAAAATGTATATAACATCCATTTAGGGTTCAAATGTACTCCTTAATTTTCAGTAATAATTATATCTCTGCAATTGTATATACAGTAAGGAATTTAAACATAAACATAAACAATTATTCTGTTAGGGAGCAACCATTTAATTTCAATGGGGGGGGGGGGGGGGGGGGGTTGTGTTTTTTTTTGCCTGAGTCAGAAAATTTTTTTGTGCAAAGCCCGAACATTTTTTTTTAGTTTTTCAACGCTATCAATCAAATTATTTTTTTTCAAAATTTAACACTATAATTAGGTATGGGGAAAATCTTGATTCAAAATATTTTTTTTTGTCATCTGCTTGACCACAATATTTTTTTTCGTCAAATTGGGGATCAGAATATTTTTTTAGGAAAAAATCATAAACACCCCCAACCCCTCCTTTGAAGTTAAATGGTTCGTTCCCTTATGAACAGTAGATAATTACACTAAATGATTTTGCCATTGTTAATTCTATAGTACTACCAAACTAAGGAACATGAATTCCTTGTTTATTTTAATTATTACAAATCTTTATACATGAAGATCACTTAAAAGTATTGGTCATACCTCTATTTCATCTGTATGAGCATGAAACATCCTAAGTAACTTTCTCTCACTAGAGGACCACACCCTCACTGTTCTAAAAGAGATAGATACTCTCATCATTAAAATTCAAATATATTTACAGAAACAGGAATTGTCATGTGTAAGGTTAATATGTAATCCTGTGATGTCCTCTTGCAGGATACTTTAATTTGTTTTCAATGTGTACGTGCGAGTTTGAGACTTCTTAACAAAGGAGTCACAACCAGGTCTTGAACCGTCTTGATTTAATAGTTCAGAGCCTAGTGAAGAAACCTTGGAAATATATTCAAGGCTAGAATAAATAATCAAAGTCAGGTTTGGGCCAAATAATCCACCGTTTGATTATAAATTCCAATAAACTGTAGGCCAAAGACAAAATTACATAGATCAGCAAAACTGTGCCACTCCAAAATCTCTCTTATCCTGGAGACATGATCAATCCATGATTACAGATTACAAAATGTTTAACTCTAGTATGAAAAAATAAATGGAGAATGTGTCTATGGGCCACAGATGCCCCCGCTTGTAAATATGCATGAGTCAACTTCCAATTACAGATGCAGGATTCATGTAGTTAAGACCGTTTTGTGATTATAAGCATAAGTTTCATAACATTTGGTTGAGGCAAACTAAAGTTAGAGAAAGGAAACGACAGATTTAGCATTTTTTCATTTATAAAGGGGCATAACTCAAGAACAATAAAAGTAACGCCACCCAATTTGGACATTGATCTGTATTTTGTGGTAATAAGCATTGTGTATAAGTTTTATAATATTTGGTTGAGGCAAACTTGTGGTTGCTGTGTTAAAGTTGAATAACATGAGTTGACAAGTGCCACATGTGGAGCAGGATCTATTAACCCTTCCTGAGCACCTGAGATCACCTGGGTTTTTGGTGGGGTTTGTACGTGCTCAATCTTTAGTTTTCTATATAGTGTTTTGTGGACTTGTCTGTCTTTTCATCTTTTTTGCCATCACCTTTTCAGTTTCTCTTTTCGACATATGAGTTTTGACAGTTCCCTTGGTATCTTACCACTTTTTTTATTGTATGACTTTTATTTTTTTTTATCTCAGAACTTTCCTACTATCCTTGCTCAAAACAGCAAGATTTGGTAATCTAACCTGTCTGATCCTGCTGATATAATGTAATCATGGTCACTGACCCCTAGATGATCAACACTACCACTATGGCCAAATAAAGAAAACTCTAGATCACCATTGTCTATCCTAAATACCCGTACAGCACTGTCTGCACAGCCTGTTATAATGTGATGACCCTAAAAAATAAATAGCTTGCTGTCTATCTTATTTGTTTTTCCTTTATTATTTTTTCATAAATCAGGCCATTAGTTTTCTCAGCTTAATTGTTCCACATTTTGTAATGAATGGGGAAAATATTCCCTTAAACATGTAAATATATTAAAAATATAATAAAAAAACATAGTTCCAATGTCCCTCACGTTGCACATATTTTATCTTTCCAAGGTACAAGGGCAATAACTAAAAAAAACACTTTCTTTTTTGTTCTTTAAAACTTTTTATAAATATCTTAGAGAAATGAAGGCTTCAGAGAAAATGCAATACGATTTCCGTTATAATTAATATTTCCAACTTTCCAAGGGGCATTACTCGTTAAAATATTTTATCAGCACTTATTTTTGAAAGTGTCAAAGACATTGCTGATAGAAATCTATGATATAAGTTTCCATAAAATTCTGGCAAGAATTGTACACATGAAAGCGCTAACAATGCAATTTTCCATAAAAGTCAATATTTCCAAGGGCATTACTCTTTTAAAAATAATTGATCAGCTCTGATTTTCCAATTTGTCTTCGACATTGATGATATAAACCTATGATAGAAAAGTTTCATAAAAATCTGGGAAGAATTGAACACGGGAGAGCACTAACAAAACCTGACAGACGAACATATGGTATTTCTATGTCCCCCACAATGCATTGCATGAAGGACAAAAAGAAATATGAGGTAAATAAACATATGTTAGATATTTTCCTCATTGCTAGTTATAACACATCTCCTTATGTATATATAATTAATGTCTTAAACTTTTATTGTGTCTTAGTTTGTTTCCATGACAATCACCTATATATATATATATATTGTTTTCAGTTGTCAATCTTAATTACAATGCTTAAGCAAAAGTTTATAAAAACAGAACAAGCAAGCCAACCAAAGTCTTGCCCTAAAAGCATTTGTAAATTAGCTTTTAATTATTTTATCTTGTTTGTTTTTTAAATTATCCTATTTTGTTTGTTTTATTAAATTATTTTACTTTGTATGTTTCATTAAATTATCCTTTTTGTTTGTTTTATTTTTAATCATAAGAAAGAAATGTATTGTTCTGCAACAACATCAACAAAATTATCTGGTATACCAGTGATTTCACAAGCCCTCATCATTTTGGCAATCTCCAATTTTACCTGGCAAAATATTTTGTTTGTTTCTTAGAATTATCCTATTTTGTTTGTTTTGTTAAATTATTCTAATTTGTTTGTTTTATTAAATTATCCTATTTTATTTGTTTTATTTTCAAAATCATAAGAAAGAAGAACAACAAAAAAATTATCATTGTATGCCAGTGATTTCATAAGTGCTCATCATTTTGGCAATCTACACTTTAGCTGGCAAAATATGTCGTAATAAGAATCTGTTTACCTGAATTTTAATTGCAGTAACAGCATCTGAATGACCACGTACTGTGTAGATTTTAGAGCCTGTAAGCATGTTCCATGTAACTAATGTTTTATCTTCACTTCCACTGACTAAACATGTACCTAAACAGGAAAAAGTTGCTTTGTGTTAACAATAAAAAGCTGAATGGTAATTGCTTAGTTAAAAGTCCTCCATTGTAGTTTGATAATTATTACATATTTTTAAAAGTCTTCAATTGAACACATTAAATAAACTACATGAACCACATATTTTGTTTGCAGAATTTTTTTGATATAAAATGAATCTGATGGAAATGAAACCTTTATCTATATATCTATAATCACTTCTTGCTTATGGAAACATGTTTCTACATTTTTAAGCATTTTTATCAAGAATTATCATTTTTCATTTTAGGAAAGTAAGGTATTGAAATTCAAAACAACATTTTCAATTAAAAATTTATAGTACATTGTACATAAAAAATTTCAAATTGTGGATATGAACATTTGAAAAGTTGCTTATTATAAGTCAGGAGCCTGTAATTCAATGGTTGTTGTTAGTTTTGTTTGCATAGATTTGTTTTTCATTTATTCAAATCATCTTGAATATAAAATCTTCGTAACTACAATCCCGTCCCCCTTTCCTCAAATGTGACCTACTGAATTAAACTTATTACCAGGTTTGTACTAACATGAGCAACACGACAGGTGCCACATGTGAAGCATGATCTACTTACCCTTCCGGAGTACCTGAGATTACCCCAGTTTTTGGTGGGGTTCGTGTTGCTCAGTCTTTAATTTTCTATATTGTGTTTTGTGTACTGTTGTTTGTCTGTTTGTCTCTTTTTTTTTTGCCACGGCGTTGTCGGTTTATTTTTGACTTGAATTTGAATGTCACTTTGGTATCGTTTGCCTCTCTTTTGTTTTAGAATAAATCAATTTGTTGTTTTCTCATTTTAATTGCTTCACATTTCGTCATGCTTTTTATAGATTACTATATGGTAAGAGTTTTGCTCATCTTTGAAAGCCATAATGTGAACTATAGTTGCTACATCCAAGTCTTTTATCGCTAAAAGATAATTGCCTCATTGTCATTTAATATACCACATATTTTCATATTCAAGATGAATTTAAAAACCATATATATATTGTTATAATGGGTTGCTGGACAATTTTGCTAACATATTGGTAAAAAAAAGCCATCTGGTTTACAAAATACTTAGGGAAAAATTGAAAATGGGAGCAGGGAATATCCTTATAAAGGTTCATAATCTGACTTTCTGTTTCTTAATTGAACAATTTTATAGCAGCTATAAATTTCATTAGTTGATGAAACTGAGGTGATGGCTAAACCACAAACCTCCAGCAAATATATATCTTACAATCTTTATTACAAGCACACCCTGCCATTTTTCTCATATCGAAGCAGGACTTTTAACCCTACAATAGTTGTGAAACATTTTGTACATCAAAGAAATTTGCCAAATTAGATAACTGGAAGATAAATAGACTGTCCAGTCTCTTTGGTTCTGGATTTCAGGTTTGCTCAGCAAATCATAACTGAAAAGTGATATGGTACTTATTTGAATATTCATATTTTATTACCATTACTGTCTATTGCAGTAACTCTTTGGCTATGTCCACGTAAGGTAGGGGAGACAAAAAATCTTCCCTTCTCCCAGTTCCTGGTTAAATGGTACATTCGTAGGTATACATGTTTCCATTTACATATTGGTGATAAACGAGTATCAAATGGCACTGAAATAAAATAAACATATAATTTTTCTTATCACATATTTTTTATTCTCAACAAACATGGTTCCCCCTTTTTTCTTGATTAACTTAAAAGGACCTAAATGCAGAACTTTAAAATATGATTTGTATACTATCTATACTAATGGTTCTCCAGGACAGTAAGTAAAAATCTATAATAAACTTAATTTAATGGCACATTGCCATGATGCTCAAAGACTCTTGGCAGACCACTGTGTTATTTTGCCATACAAGTGTCTTACAGCCTTCTTACAGTAACTAAAGACTGAGTTGTTCTTTCTTTTAACAATATATATATAACAAGATTTTAAAAGATTTCAATCCCATTGCAAAAATCACTCACAACTAAAATTTTGACACAATCAAAACATAGTTGTTAACTTCTATGCCATTTGGTCTCTGGTGAAGAGTTGTCTCATTGGCAATCATACTACATCTTCTTATTTTTATATTAGATAGGTCAGACATTTTATATCATTTGCCATTATATATTAAGATACTCACCATAAAGATCAAAATGGGGAGAAGTTCCTGAGACATTAGTTGTTGGTTTAGCACTGGGTTCCTCATTAAGATACTCACCATACAGATCAAAATGTGGAGAAGTTCCTGAGATATTAGTTGTTGGTTTAGCACTGGTTCCTCATTAAGACACTCACCATACAAATCAAAATGTGGAGAAGTTCCTGAGATATTAGTTGTTGGTTTAGCACTGGGTTCCACATTAAGATACTCACCATACAGATCAAAATGTGGAGAAGTTCCTGAGATATTAGTTGTTGGTTTAGCATTGGGTTCCTCATTAAGATACTCACCATACAAATCAAAATGTGGAGAAGTTCCTGAGATATTAGTTGTTGGTTTAGCACTGGGTTCCTCATTAAGATACTCACCATACAAATCAAAATGTGGAGAAGTTCCTGAGATATTGGTTGTTGGTTTAGCACTGGGTTCCTCATGTAAAATGCTGCCTGATATACCATATTTCATCCAACCATTCTTCATGCAATGGTGAAGCCTATGGTAAAATAACATACAGATTCATAAGAATTTGAATTTGTCTTTTATAAGTAGTTGATAAATCATTGAGCTATCAAGTTGGTCATGATGATATTTAACTTTGTGTATTCCATTTTTCCTTGATTTTTTGTATTTGTTAATCATTTAGAGGGGCCTCAGTGACTAAGTGGTCTAAGTAGTTCATCTACTGCATCACTAGCATATTAACATTGAGGTTGTGAGTCCAAACCTTGCATGTGGCAGGTCACATTTGACTCCAATCTTAGTTGACGGCGGGAGATAGCTAGTTTTCCTCCTTAATGTCGTGGTTCTTTTTGGCTTCCTCCACTAATGAAATCTGACCAGCATGATATAGTCAACAGCGCTGAATGTGGTGTTAAACACCAACAAATCAATCATCAATCAGATTATTTAGTGGTGGTTAAGAATAAACATGTATGTTTGATATAAATATATGGACATTATTATTATATAGAGGCATTAGGATCTATAATAACCTTACATGAACACAATGTAAGGGTGAAATGTACTTAGAATTAAAGGGATGTTCTTTTGTTTTTTTGTGTTGTCAAGTGCCTGTAAGAATTGTGTTTGAGACTTTTGACAATTCAAAATGCAGACTTTTGAAGTAACTTACCATGCAGAGCTGGTATTTGAGGATGCCTGCCTATTAATACATATATACATATCATGTAACATCAAATTCCTGTTCAAGTCTTCTTTCTAATTTAATCAGACTTGTGAATTAACTAATCATACAGAGTTCCTTCATAATAATAGAGATTTGTGAAGTAACATAGCATACAGAGATGCAGCAACCTGTTTGATGGAATCCCTCAATATTATACAGATGTATAAAGTATACAGATAGAGTTCCTGTTTTGAGGCTTCATTCCAAGTACATTTAACATACATTGCTCTGTGTTGAAGACCTCACTGTGACTTTGAGATGAAGAACAGCAATTAAAGCGCTCTTCCTTTGCTTTTTGTGTGTTTTTTGCTGTGCATGTACTGATTTTGTGTCATAGATCAATACCCCATATCCTTTGTTTTTCTATTATAGTACCATACAGAGTCCCTGTCAAAGAGAATCCCTCTACATGTAAGTAGTACAGATTTTTTAATTAACTTACCATACCGAGTCCCTGTTAAAGAGAATCCCTATACATGTAAGTAGTACAGATTTGTTTATTAACTTACCATACAGAGTCCCTGTTAAAGAGAATCCCTCTAAGTAATACAGATTTTTTAATTAACTTACCATACAGAGTCCCTCTTAAAGAGAATCCCTCTAAGTAATGCAGATTTTTAATTAACTTACCATACAGATTCCTGTTAAAGAGAATCCCTCTAAGTAATAAAGAATTTTTAATTAACTTACCATACAGATTCCTGTTAAAGAGAATCCCTCTAAGTAATACAGATTTTTTAATTAACTTACCATACCGAGTCCCTGTTTGAAGCCTCTCTCCAATTAACAGAGACTTGTGAGAAGAATCCAATCTCCTTTACATTCAGGTAGGACAAAACTTTGTCTATCAACTCTGGTGGTAAATATCTGGTAAAATCTGACATCTCTCATCTAAAATTGTTAATAAGGCCTTGTCAATCTGTTGTTTTTCTAGGGGGTTTTGGAAGACTACACTCGAGCTGTTATACTTGAAAAACAAATCTGGTTGCAGTTCTTTTTGTACTTTTAAAAAAAAATTCTGGGTCACACCTTATTACTGGCTATCACATCAGCATCTGGACACAATAGGATCTGTGTTCTATCGTTTTTGCTATTGTGTACAGCAGATATTTTTCCTGCAGTTTCTATTGCCATTACAATACAATAATACAATGGATTTTGCAATCATGTACAGCAGATCTTGATCATTATTACCTACTGCATCTTCAATGCTGATAATGGGAAATAGGGTGCAAAATTAATTGCAATCCAGAGTTTATCATATACCTAGTCCTGCTGACTATCCACATGCTAATTAATTTCTTCAAGAGTCATGAAAATTTTGTTAGACTACTAAGACTTAGTATTTAGCTTTAATAGGGAAAGAAAAACTACAACATGGGAAGCCTGATTTATAAACATTTTTCATTTTATGCTCCAGTTGACTACTTGTTACAAAAAGTGAAATATTAGAAATGGAGAAATGCTTTAAGATCTAAATATGATGAAACAGTAAGGAGCAAGGACATTGTCTTTGGTCTATAAATGAATTGTTTGCATTTATTGTGTTGTTGGATTTTCCTGGAATCGCAATAATTTATCTCGCATTTTTGTCCATTCTTCAAAAATCGCAATAATAAATGCATGCAATAATTTCTGGATTTACAGTATCCAATTTAAACTCTTCCCACTGCCTATGACTCAAGGCTGTATATAGGAGTATAAACAAACAATTATATCTTTTTTAACTTTGCCAAAATGTAGTTTATGTTAAAAACTGCAAAATCTCATATTTTGCAAGGATTACATACAAAAAGTGCCATTTTGTGACAAGAAAATTAAAAATAAGTAGAATTCAGAACTAAATAAGAGCTGATAGCTCTAATGAAATGATTTCAGACAAAAAAGAAAAAGAAAAATTGGGACACATTATTAAATTTGTTTATCTTGTCCTATAAATTGGTATACAGGACTTACAGTACTTTCTTATATAAAACTAAATTATCTGAGTTATCCCCCTTAATAAAGCTTTTTTTTAAATTGTAACAATCACAAAATTTTCTATACAAATTATATAAAAAATACATAAATGATAAATTCCAAAAAAAAATATGAGCATGAGGAGATAAAACACATGATTTTCAATTCAAAAGCTACACAAACATGTTCAATTTGTATGTCAAAATTGGCCGGCTTATTTCAGTAAAAATCTGAGCATAAAAATCATGTGAATTGCAGCCATTTATGATCCAAGATGGCAAAATTCTCTTATAAAATCTTAAAGCTATCAATATAATTCTAACATTGTTTTATAACATATATAGGGCTTTCAAGAAAGAATACTGGTATGAATACTGGTTCGCTGCAGTGCAGAGCAACAGTGAGAAGTAAAATAGAAAGCAATGCGTTAATTTAGTTTACAAACATTTCCAGTTTTACAAAAGAGTATGTTGGAAGACAAAATACTATCAATAATTTTTATATCTATATAAACCAAATATCATCATCAAATAACCAGGGATAAAAAACCGTTAATCGTTGACTCTTCATTGAGCTTCATTACCCTGAAGCTGTACTATTCCCTGAAAAGGGAGATAACCCAACTTGGAATTTTAACTTTAAAATAGTTTCCTGCAAAAAATAATGAGTCTTGCAATATATTTATAAAAAGTACAGATTGCAATGCATAATTTTTAGGATTTATTCACGACTAAATATGATTACAGAACTATCAATCCTCATTGAATTTCCTATTATGTTTCCAAGGGAACATACACTTAAAATTATACTCCAAACTTATATCACCTGTGAAAAGTGGCATAATACCAATGTCAACTTGTACCACTAAAAGCAAACTCATATAAAAAAAAACTTGTACCAATTTATTTAATCACACCCTAATTGATATGCAGCTGTGTTAAATGTTAAACATATGCATGTATATATAAATACATCATGTCTTTAAAATTAAACAAATGATTGGAAAGTCTCCAGACCAAATTGTAGCTAATTGTTCCTTGGCTAGTAGGCCCAATTGAATATCATTGCTTGCAATTTTATCATAAGAAAAAAAGAACGACTTCAAACTCTTTTACTATAAAAATAAGGAGATGTGGTATTTACCAACGAGACAACTATCCACCAGAGTTCAAATGAAGTAAATGTAAGCAATTATAGGCAAACGTACAGCCTTCAACAATGAAAAAATCTAATACCATATAGTTGGCTATAAAAGGTCCCGACATGAAAAATGTGAAACAATTCAGATGAGAAAACTGATGGACTAATTTATTACAAAACAATTTACAAAAAACACATATGAAAGACAAAACCAACAACCACTAGCTACAGGTCCTTACCAGTGCTTCCAAAATTTCCTGACGACTGCCGGACATTTTTCAAAGAAATATTTTTGACGGTCAATGATCAGCTGGATACTTAAATGTAACTGAGAGGATGCATAAATTGATATATGTGTCTTAATAATTAGTAGTGTTATATGCAATAAAATTATTTATAACTGTTTTGTTTTCTTCATTCTAAAAATAAATAAAATATTATCCTCGGTATTGTGTCATTTTCTGTGTATCGTAATACAGTAACCATCGTTGCATCAATCAGCTTCAGTACCCGACTGTTCTCATGTTTTTTTTCTGTTTATATAATCTATCTTCTCTCTGTGAGTACTTAACAATTTGTAAATTAAGGCCATCTTATTTGAAACTGTTGATGTTGGCTTTAATTGCAGTACAACTTGATCATCAATACACGTGATACTTTTCTTTTTGTGTATTGATTACCTGACCACGTGACTTTTACAACTGATGCGGTATTTATAGATAACATTGAGGAGGCCCAATGAAGGATATTGTTTTAACCGTGTAAAATCTACTGAACAGTGATAACATTTTTCTTTGTACAATGATAAGTACAAAATTAAATGTTTTTGCGTAGCCAGATCAGTTGACTCGTCGATCATAATTCCCACGGCGGGACTTAACTTTACGTCGGACATCACCTCTTTCTCTATAACATCGGAAATTGTCTGAATAAATTCGGAGGAGGCATTGTTCTCTTGATATAATTTAGAAGTGATCACGGCACCATTTAACTTAGTTAAATCATTTATTGACTGAAATTTGTCCATTGGTAAGTTTTCTTTAGCAATAAAGTAAGCATTACGGAACAAGGTGCACATTGCGCCGTTGTCAGTCTTTTCATGAACTTTCTCAAATACTGATACAATTGGATTACTTTTGGAAGCTGTCTCTAATTTAAGAGCTTGAATGTGGTCATTGCTATTAGCATGCTCTACAACGGCTGACTTTCGAAAATTTGTCGAACCAGGCTTTACAAAGTTATTTTTAAGTTTATGTTTTTGACAAATGTCACAAAACATGGCATTTAGCATACTGTCAAATCTTAACCATAAAAACAGTTGTAACCATTTATGAATAAAGCTTCTAGCATTTTTAGCAGATTTCGAATTTTGATCGGAATCGTCACGTTTACGTTTGCCCATGATGGCAGATTTGGAAAGTTCAATTTGAGACAAAGTCTTTATAACAGTCGGAGATTGTCATGATTGGGTATTATTCTTTATGATTTTAATTATAAAAACAGTTTTTAATATGAAAACAAGAATAGAAAACGCCCCCCTTATTTATTGGACAACTCAGCTTGGTCTAGTTTTTCCTATATATTTTAGTAAATTTTCCCCTTGAGAGTACCCCAGTATTTAACACGATGTACAGTGTTAAATAAAATAATATATATCATACTTATTCATTTACAAATATCCTTATTTGAAGAATAACTTTTAAATATCAGGATACTTTTTTAAACTGAATGCTCATTTAAAATAATATCTATAAAGCTTAATTAAATAGGATGTTGTTCCATACACGCTTACATGTTTGACCTCGTTTACCTGATTACCTTTATGTACATTGTTATGCATCATTAATTCTATTGATAAAGACAAGCTAAGGACACCTCATCAAAGGTAACAAACCTGTAATCAGTGAATGATTTATGGCTTCAATATAACTTATTGAAGGGATAATTGTTTGACAGCTTGTTGTTATTTAAATAAAAGAAAACGTGTTTTTTCTACTTTTTATTGATGTACTCAAGCTAAAGACCAAGCCGTACATTTATGTACCCAGAGGATTAGACTAACTGAAACACTTCAAAGTATCTGAAATATGCTGCTTCTGTTTTATTAAACCCAATTATGACCGAAATAGATTGCCACAATTCTAAACTAAAATGCCCAAACGGACATGCCCAAAGCCCCAAACGGACATTTTTATCGATCGATAGTTGGTAAAAATTGAAATGACCGTTTCATGAAAATGCCTTGAATAACAAAATGTGGCACACCAATTCTATTTGACCGTTTGAGGCTGAGAGCAGCCGGTCTTTTTATGAAAGTTTCGGTCAAGTCCGGAATATATGACCGTTTTGGAAGCCCTGGTCCTTACTTGAGTTACTGCTTGTCTAAGAGTGTTAAATTTTATAACACCAATCAAAATTTAATGATTAGATTAACAATGTTTTGACATAGTAAGGGAGGCGTGCTACGATTGATTCCGGCAACAAAGATAGGCGTGTTATACTCCATTGTGTAGATAAATCAATTTAGAATAACGGCATAACAAGTTTTAGTGGAGTAGACAACCGAGAAAACTAAATATAACGTAACATCTCGACCAGGTGACATTTTACAAAAAAGCGAGTTAGATACCTTGTGTTCTATTAAGGTATATAGGATTTTTTTTTCAGAGACAAGTTTCTGTGAAGTAGAGATGAAAAATATAATTTCCAAAATATTAATTTTTTAATTGTCCTAAGATAATTAAAATCATTTAATTAATATTCTTATAAATTTTTGCATTCAATTTGCCTCAGATTTAATCTTTTTACAAGGAAACATCAATTTAAGGAGTAAACTGTGAAAATGGGCAAAAAAGGGGGAGTAACTCAAATTTTTGTCTAACATCTTTGAAATACACAAATCATTTATGACTAAGGTAATTGGTGTCAATTAATAGTGTGTTTGACACCAAAGCTGTCAAGTGAAGCCATGCACTTAATGTGTCACTTGATTTGACAGTTTACACAGCTAGTTGAACTTCCTGTCCAGGAAGAATTACGAATTCGCTGGTATTTCAAAGGAAAATCACTTTTGAAATCTATCATTTCATACTTAAAAAAGTCTCAAGGCACAAGAAAACGAGTGAAAACGTGTCAAATGTGGAAATTACCGGTTATCTGATGACCTGGGCAACTATAGAAATGTTGCAGGTGTGCTCTTAAATTCCCAGGTGGGACCTGCAAAATCCGGGTCATATGACAGATATGCTGATGAAACAAATGAATAAGAGTTCAATATCAACAGACTGCTCAATGTCAAACATAAATATGTTGAAATGGAATCAACATAGCAGATGTAGAAATATTAGATGCAGTTGTTGGTGTTTATTTAATACAGACAACTTTTTTTCTATTCTCTATTTAAAAAATTGTATTAATGAGGTAAGGAATGGGGTACCCCACATGATGAATGACAGAAAAAATATCCTATGTTAATATAACGTTAACGATAAACATGATTTACCTCCATTTGACTTTAATGGTAGCTACAAAATGAGATTTGTTGAATGCCAAAAAAAAAAAAAAGGTTCATAAGATGCTAACGGTTGCGTAAAAATGGACATTAGACGCTAAACGGTTGCGTAAAAATGGACATTATACGATAATGCTTGCGTAAAAATGGACATTGGACGCTAACACTTGACGATAAAGGGCATTCCTTTCCTCATTATTCAAACAGCAAAGTCAAAAGGAAACGTTATGATATTAATGTCTTCATCATGTGTAACATCCTAATGTTTCACAGCAGATGAGCGTACGTGTACATTATGACAAAATGACTTTTTGTTGAGTAATATTCTTTCTCAAAACAAACTTCTCTCAAAACAATTAATGCATATACATGTATGTAAAGAACAATATGAAAAAGTGTGGTCGAATCGACTATGGCCGAAACGACTTTGGCCGAAACGACTGCGGCCGAATTGGTTGTGGCCGAAACGTCTCAAAAGCATATTTTTGTACAATTTGCGGACCAAAATTTAACCATATTCTTTCATGAAACCCTTGATATAAACGTGAATCTGCAGAGGCATTAACATTTTCGAAATGAAGAAAATTTTTGTAACTTTTATCTTTCGTACCTTTAAGTTGCTAATGACGCTTTGCACCTTCTATTTAGAGAAGGAAACAAAGCGGAAATGCAGTGTGGATCCAAGGGGAATAAACTTATTTATGATGATGTTCGTGGCATCTGTCAGATTTGGTAAATAACATTATGTAATTATGATTGACTTTGTTGCTTTTTGCTGTTAATATCTGGCGACTGTAAAATCCAATCAGGATCTCCTGTAGTTGGTGATCGCAATCCTGGTATACTACTTTCTGTATTTAAGGTAGATGGGGTGTCTAAATTATAATCCATAGAATTTTTTAATAATTTGCCAAAATGTAGTTTATATCAAGCTTTTTAAAAAAAAATGATAAAAAGAATGGGTCACGGGGCTTATTTTCACGCTACAGGTTGTTCAAAATCAACAGATTTTGTATAGATTATGCATGGAAAACCCAATTTTCTGCCATAAAACGAAAACTGCACCATAGAATTTTCAGATAAAATATGAGAAGATAGCTTTAATATAATGCTTTCAGATAAGAAAAAGAAAAAATGGGGTCACCGGACTCGTTTTCTTGCTACATAATAAAATAGGTAAATTCCTAACACATTCTATTGTAAAAGTATCTTTATCTGAATTATCTGCCCTTACATTTGAGTTGCCTCCCCTTATGTGGCAAAGTTGGAAAAAATTGAATCAAACAAAAGTTTTCTGTTTTTTTGTAAAATACAACCATAAATATGATAAAACATGCCATTTTCTATATTGAAATGAAAATTCTTACATATGAATTACCTACTACTCTCAAAATTTGCACATTCTATTCAAGATCTAGACCGATTGTTTTCAGGTATTACAAATCCAAGATGGAGGAAGACACCCTATCTACCTTAAATTCCTTTAAAAAAAAGAACCAAATTTTCTATCTGAAACATCACGAACATAATGAAAAAGTTGCTGAAAATACACTTAAAAACAACTTGAACTTGGACATAGCATACACCTTAAAGTATTGTCTACAGTACAACTACAATACTGGAACAACAGTAATGTACCAGTATTGTTTTTTTTTTTTTTTTTTAAAGTACAATATCACATGAATATTATTGGCGGTGTCAACATATATTTGTTCCGCCTAACAGAAGTTCCAATGGAAACTTTGTTATAAACTGTTCCTGTTGGAACATATATTCTATACTATTTATTCCGTTAGGAACATTTACTGTAATATTTATTCCAGTGGAAATAATATTCCAGAATATATTGTTTCCATTGGGAAGTTATGTTATGAAGGAACTTCTATTCCATGGCAGCACAACATTTTTAAACCAGTAAGGCAGTATTGTGATCAACTACAGGAGATCCTAAAATGGAGCAGTGAAACTAGATTACAATTATGAAAAAAACTCGCAATAAACACCAACTATGCCAAAAGTTTAGGATTTACAGTTACAACCAAATTATTTATCCTTCTTCAAATTTTATATCCCTTTCCTTTTTCACATTCTTCTTGTTCTTTAATCCCAGATAAGGAAACAAATTGAAAAAAAAACTCTGAAATGAATTTATTTGGTCAGTTAGTTTTGTGTGAAATATTTGGAAACACTTGGAACTATTATACTTACAGCATGTACAGTGAGTATAATAGTCCCAGGAAACACATATGGCCTAAGAAATAAAAACTTTCTGCTAGCTACCATCAGCCATGCTAAAAAAATATGCACTGGCTACGATTACTTTGAAAACCTTACAATTAAACAAAAAAGTTATTGTACGTTGGACACTAATTACCGGAATGCTAGGTTGGGTTAGGAACCGATTAATTACAACGTAACAATAATATTTTTGTCTAAGGTTATGTTGTGTTATGGTTATTGTTACGTTAATGCTTTTTAATGTATGCCATTATATGCTGGGAATAGTAATATAGGATGTCCCATATGTATGTAATACATTTTATATTAAAATCCAACATAAAAACTTTAATTCCTAATTTAAGCAATGATACAATATTGCATACAGATAATATATGAGCTGTGTCAGATAGAAATCGACCTTATGCAAGTGCATGTATACATGTGCATGTATAAGACTTTTATTGATTTTTGAACATTCAAATAAGATATAAAAGATAAATTTTGGTCTGTTTTGTAGGGTTCCTATATAAACTCAGTTTTGGAACAGTTACAGACTTTGCATAGAGATATTTTCAACCTGAAATAAATAAACAGATGTATTGATATTCATTTGCATAAGGTCGATTTCTATCCAACGCATCTCTTATTTTATTAACAATGGCAGCTTCTGCACATCTAGCATGTCCTTTTTGGTGCATGTTTTAGTCCAACACAATTTTGGTGGAACCTCTGTAGTCAGCCATCACAAATGAGTGGTGCTGCAATGTGCACGTCGGTTTTGAAAACTATAAACAGTTCCACTCTGAAATTTTCCTTTTTGAAGTTATACCAGCTTTCAATATATAAATAATAAGATGTGGTAGGATTGCCAATAAGATAATTCTCCACAAGAGACCAAATGACATAGAAGTTTACAACTATAGGTCACCATACGCCCTTCAACAATGAGCAAAACCCATACCGCATAGTCAGCTGCCTACCATGCTTCAGGTGAAATTAAATGTTTTATTCTTGAAATAGTTATATTTTCATCCAAAATTTTTGTTGGAAACATGTGATGTTGTTTTATGTTGTCTTCTTATATCATTTCATTTCCGTCCTTTATATAACTGTATAAAATTTGAATCTTGATATTTTTTTAGTTTTGATTGAAATGCATCAAAAAATTTTAATTTTTCAACCAAAGAAAATTTGTTTATAGGAATAAGTTCGTCTATTGTTCAAAGTTTAATGACAGTAATGAGGGTGTTAAAAAAGGGTAAGAGTGTAGAAAAAAACCTAGAAGCGAACACTTTTCTTCTAAACATCGAAACACTGAACTATATTCTTCATCTTTGGCACTTCTATTATATAAAACTGTAGTATTATCTTTCTCATACATATACGAATAATAATAATAATAATAATAATAATAATAATAATAATAATAATAGAATAATAATTAATATCATTATTATTAATTTCAAACATATCGGAGAATTCAGCAGCAAAACTAAAGTCTGTTAAAAGTTTAATAAATCTAATGTAACAATAACCCAATGTAACCGTAGACACAAATATAATTGTTATGTTCGTAATTAATCTGTTCCTAACCCAACCTAGCATTCTAGCAATTAGTGTCCAACGTAACAATAACTTGTTTGTTATTGTTACGTTTCAACGTAGTCGTAGCCAGTGCTGAAAAAATAAATGCAAGAAGTTTCGGCCGGCATTACTACTTCCTCCATAGTTGTTTTGGTCATACAACCAGTCTGGGCATACTTGGTGAAGTCGTTTTCATGGATTTTTGTAAATATGGGGCAGGTGTTACCTGTGAAGTCTGTTTTTTATGTATAATAGTCTTACTTTTTTTTCAAAATTAAAGAAATAACATATCCTTGTTTTTTTTTATTACCAAGGACATTCTGCGGCCTTCAGTATTAAAGTTGGACTTGAATCTGTATCAGTAGCTTTATCAGATTTAAGATTTATTAACAGTTTATCATGTTTATACACTCAGACTCTAATGTGAAGTTAATGGTGTATAATCATGATAATCATGATTATGATATAATTTACATTGTATTCTATTTTTTTTTTCAATCATCAATATTGGAACTGTGAAAATAGTTAAAAATTATTATGCAATGGAGAAAGATATTTTTACAGTATTTATTTTGACAGATCTGAGTAGTCATTGAGATTTCAAGTAAAGGTTAAAAAAATGCATAGAAGAGAACAATCAGCTGATTTAATACTTAGTAGTCTTAATCTGCCGCCGGAAATGTCAAGAGCATGTAAAGTAAGTATAATTAACATGAATAGCAGCAATAAAAGTGCTGTGTTTCTTTGCTTTTAATTTTTATTTAAAAAAATTTATATAGTGATTTTGTGAATATGTTATTTTAATCAAGTGTACCCATGGACACATGAATGATTGTACTATTATACCATGAGATGAACATATATGAGTCTGTGAAACTAAGAATTTTGTATCTTTACAGTTCAGTGTATTATATATATGTTTGTTTGATTGTAGCAAAATTGTCAAAATGGTCCTTAAAAAAGAAAAGTTTCAGAAACAGACATAAAACAGGTCTCTTGAACAACAAATTTATTTTTGAAATAAAAAAAATGAAAAACAAAACATGGGAATTACACAATTTGTTGGAAAATAGATACCTTCTCAATCTCTATTCTATCTTGGTTAAACATAATTATATCCATGATGTAGTAGGAAAAGATTAAAGTGAAAGAAAGTATATCATCAAGGAAACACAACACTATCATTGACTATGTGCAGAAGAAAAAGAAACAAACAAACTCAGTTCAATTGAACTAAAATAAGACCACTTAAGTGAGCAAAATAAATTCCATGAATTTAATATAGCTTTCGACATTGCAGGTTTAGCTCCTTCCTCATTCTGTTCCTGGCCTCCTTGTGGGTATCATATATATATTTATACATAAAAAAAGAAAGGAAATGTTTTCAATTGATAATTTGTACAGACTTTTTGTACAATTGCAAGTTACCAGTTCTTCATCTTGTTACATTGTAGTTACCTGTTAAAATGAGCATAGGGCATGACATGAAACCATTATTTCTTAGATTTGTCATACCAGGCCTTATTTGACTTATTAGATAGTATGGTTTTTGGTCATTGTTGAAGGCTGTAAGGTGAATTATAGTTGCTTATATGATATATCCATGTCCTTTGGTCTCTGGGGATAATTGTCTCATTGGGAATTGTACCATATCTCCTTATATGATATGCCTCTGATTCAAAAGTAGAAGGGCATGAAAAATGTTTTTATATTGTATTTTAAACCGTTAAAACATTGTATTTCAGGAATGTGGTTGCACTTGTGATTGTTGTAATGGATTTTCAAGTAATTCAAGGTAATCTAATGTAGAAACTATTGTTAAACAGTAGGTCAGTCAAAATATCAAAAATATGTTCAAATTACATTTCTGAATTGTTGAAAGTTAGAAATTATGTTTTAAAAAACCATTAAGATATCAATATCCTGTTTAGAAAGTATTGATTATCTAGTTTTTGTAATTTTGAATTTTTGTATTTTATGTATTTCTATACAATGTACTAAATTGAGCATGTTGAGTCGTTACCAATTGTTATAATTGTGTTTGTGCTAATGAAATATTGTCTATTGTCTATTGTATAAATATACAAAATTAAACTGTACTAGTAAGGCCCCTCGCTTTAAATCATTTCAAGTTTAGAAAAGTCATAAATGTATGCAACAGAGAAGATGAAAAAAAGAGACAATAGCAATTTCTCTTAAAGATTTCCAACAATTGACAGAGTTACATTCACAATTAATAACTAACTTTTCTGAATAGAATTGTCAACAAAATTTCAAGTTCTAAAAGGAAATTAAAGCATTTATTTTGTTAACATGTTTTTCATTGTGCTTATTTTAGTCTGGACATGCACCAGCAGATCGAAGAATTAGAGAGCCAGTTAAGAAAGAGTAATAATAGACTCTCAGAGATCGAGCATGAGTTAATATATAGTAAAATGGCTGCTGAAAGTGAAGTACTCAAACTGAGAGACGAACTTAACAAACTGAGGGATCGATATGACAGGTAGGATACATATATAGATTCTACAACTGTACCGAGCGCGATAGATTTCTCCTTACAAGATAGTTTGATATTAAGATTAAACTATCAAAAGTTGTGAAATATCTTATCACATATTTGCAAGTTAGGTTGATGGAATCTGTTTCTTTTATAACTTAGATGACATGTAGGCAAACTTTTATCTTCCATTTTCAATGATCTGCGAAAGATTATGCTCTTTCTCTGAAACGTAATCAAACATTGTCCAGTTTTTTATACGACTGCAAACATTTTTTTGGGTTTGTATAATGCTATGATGTCGTCGTCGTCTTCCGAAGACACATTTGGTTTCCGGACAATAACTTTAGTTTAAGTGAATGGATCTCTATGAAATTTTACAAGAAGGTTCAATACCACAAAAGGAATGTTGGGATTGATTTTGGGGGTTATGGTACCAACAGTTTAGGAATTAGGGGCCAAAAACAAGCATTTTTGTAGTTTCTGGACAATAACTTGTGTGTAAGTGTATGGATCTCTCTGACATTGTACCACAAGGTTCCATATCACAAAGTGAAGGCTGGGATTGAGTTTGGGGATAATTTCCCCAAACGTGCAGGAATTTGGGGCAAAAAAGGGGCCAAAAACGAGCATTTTTCCAGACAATAACTTGTGTTTAAGTGTATGAATCTCTCTAAAATTGTACTACAAGGTTCCATACTACAAAGGGAAGACTGGGATTGAGTTTGGGGGTGATTTTTTTCCAATTTTTTTAAGGGGTTCATATTTTTTTTTTCAAAATTTTTCAAATTTTTTTTAAAAGTTTCAAGAAGAAATCTTCAATTGCACAGTATTGCGCAATAGATTTTTAAGATCTTTGACCACATTTATTTTGTGTCAGAAACCTATATTATGTCAAAAATTTGATCACAATCCAAATTCAGACAGTATCAAGCTTGAATATTGTGTCCAAATTTGCCCCAACTGTTCAGGGTTCGAAGCATTTTATTCTCAATTGTTTATGTAAAATTAAAAAAATTGTAGAAGAGCAAGAAAATTTGCCATCCTAATGGAATTTGGACCAATGAAGAACTGAAATCAAGCAACTACACATACCTTGACTTTAAAAAATATTCAGCCTACATGGAAAGTATAAATCATCTAAGGATTAGGAAAAAATGAGAGTCAGAGATCAACCTTCAAAATTATAGATAGAAATGAAAGTTGATACATTGTACAAAGAGTGCAGTGCTCACACTTAGAGGTCACTAAACAAATTAAGAGATCATATGGGAGATATTGTATATATTCAAATTAACAAATATGATTGACAGCAATGAACGACAATTAACCTCTGGATTACGGGCTGTAGAATTATTATTTATATTTGACACTTTTAATTGAAGGAACTCTGTCAACTGTTTAGTTTAGAAAAAAAAATCTTCACAATTTTATTGCAGATTGTATGAAAGTCACAAGAAATTACAGAAAGTAAATCATAACCTAGAAGACAAATTACTCAAAGTTGTGAGTATTCTTTTATTATTATTTTAACCAGATTGATTTTAAGGGTCTCCCCCCTGGCCCCCGAAACAAACTATACAGGTTATTTTCCATGCCTGTAGGCCATGAGGCAAAGGTTGACAATGTTTTATTGAGGAGTAAGGATCAATCTATTCCATCACCCTCTTCTGTGTGTTATTTAATTTATTATACTGCATGTTTCTTTATTATTGTCTTTTCAATTTTAAATTGAAAGTAATAAATTATGAAGTCATGTACATAAAAAAACATCCCTTTTTGATAAAATGCAAAACTGATCAAGTGTCTCCATGAAAAGTAATGTATTATAAGCCAGTGGATATAGTATATACTTTTCCGCAGGTGAATATGCTTATTTATTCGTAATCCCATTCATATAGAAAGACCTACTAAATTTCTATCAATATGGAATAAAGTAGAATATCTCCCTTGTATTAACCAATCAAATCTGACATTTTAACTTGAAGTATGATAAATCAAATTGATCAGTAGGTTAACATCCAACAACAGTTTGGTAATTCATGTTAATTGTCTTTTTTAAAGGTTTCTGGATTTGAATCAGAAAAGATGAGTTTACAGAGAGAAAGGTCCTCAGTGACATCTAAGTTAGTTGAAGCAAGACTAGCTGTAACAGACATGGAGGAAGAAAATGTAAGTTTCACTAGAGTTTACCACATAGGCCATTGTAAATTTCACTATAGTTTACCATGGAAGTCATTAAATGTTTCACTAGAGTTTACGAAAGTCATTGTAAGATTCACTTGAGTTTACCATGTAGGTCATTGTAAGTTTCACTAAAGTTTACCATGGAAGTCATTGTAAGTTTCACAAGAGTTTACCATGCAGGTCATTGTAAGTTTCACTATAGTTTTCCATGGAAAACATTGTAAGTTTCACAAGGGTTTACCATGGAGGTCTATAAGTTTCACTAGAGTTTACCATGAAAGTCATTGTAAGTTTCACTAGCATTTACCATGGAGGTCATTGTAAGTTTCACTAAGAGTTTACCATGGAAGTCATATTTTCACACATACTTTCCCAATAATTGGGATCCAACAGTCAATACTGTACATGTACACAAACTTACAAAACAACACATTAAAGAATTCAAACAAACATACAAACAAATCTGAAAAGATACCAACAAAAAAACTGATTGTAGTTGATAGTACATACAGTATAGTAAAACATAATTTCATATACACTTTCCAAATCAAGTAGAATATAAATACAAAGGTATACAAAATGAAAACCTCATGCATCCAAATCATACCTCTGGACCCACCTGCATCAGGACCACCCAAAACCAAAATCTCTATAGCCGAATTCACAAATACCGTGTCACGTCAAGAGTAATACAACCAAAAGGAACATAGTAATACAAAGACAAATTTAGGGAAAACAGTAAAGTAAATAACATGAAACACAACGTCAGCACCTAGAAACTAGAAGCTCTCAAGAGCCTGTGTCGCTCACCTGATTCTACTTTGGTTTTGGAAATCATGTAAAAATAGATTAAAATCATAACAGATACCCTAATAATGAGTAAGGCCAAATTTGGTTTAATATTGGTCCTGTAATTTAATAAAAAATCCTGGTGGCCATCTAGATCTTGAACAGTAAATCGGCAACAAAGTAGCAACACTTCATCAGCACCTCATAAGAAACATTTATGACATGTTTGGTTTCATTCCATTCAGTGCACCTCTAGAAGAAGCATTTGTATGTATTTCCCATAGGATCTTATGTTAAAGGAAGTCCCCCTGCTGGCGGCCATCTTGGATGAAGGATCAGCTTCAAAGTAACAACACTTAGTCAGCACCTCATAAGGAACATTCATGCCATGTTTGGTTTCAATATATTCAGTACGTGGTTCTCTAAAATAAGACATTTGTATGTATTGTCCATAGGGTCCTTTGTTAAACATTGTCCCCAGCTGGCGGCCATCTTGGATGATGGATCGGCTTCAAAGTAACAACAATTGGTCAGCACTTCATAATGAACATTCATGCCATGTTTAGTTTCATTCCATTCAGTGGTTCTCTAAAATAAGACATTTGTATGTATTTCCCTTAGGGTCCTATGTTAAACTAAGTCCCCCACTGGCGGCCATCTTGGATTATGGATCGGCTTCAAAGTAACAACACTTGGTCAGTACCTTGAAAGGAACATGCATGCCATGTTTGGTTTCATTCCATTTAGTAAGTTCCCTAAAAGAAGACATTTGTATGTATTTCCCATAGGGTCCTATGTTAAACTAAGTCCTCCACTGGCAGCCATCTTGGATTATGGATCATCTTCAAAGTAACAACACTTGGTCAGCACCTCATAAGGAACATTCATGCCATGTTTGGTTTCATTCCATTCAAGTGGTTCTCTAAAAGAAGACATTTGTAAATATTTCCCATAGGGTCCTATGTTAAACTTAGTCCTCCATAGGCGGCCATCTTGGATGATGGATCGGCTACAAAGTAACAACACTTGGTCAGCACCTTATAAGGAACATTCATGCCATGTTTGGTTTCATTCCATTCAGTGGTTCTCTAAAAGAAGACATTTGTATGTATTTCCCTTAGGGTCCTATGTTAAACTAAGTCTCCCACTGGCGGCCATCTTGGATGATGGATCGGCTTCAAAGTAACAACACTTGGTCAGCACCTCATAAGGAACATTCATGCCATGTTTGGTTTCATTCCATTCTGGGGTTCTCTAAAAGAAGACATTTGTATGTATTTCCCATAGGGTCCTATGTTAAACTTAGTCCTCCATAGGCGGCCATCTTGGATGATGGATCGGCTACAAAGTAACAACACTTGGTCAGCACCTTATAAGGAACATTCATGCCATGTTTGGTTTCATTCCATTTCAGTGGTTCTCTAAAAGAAGACATTTGTAAATATTTCCCATAGGGTCCTATGTTAAACTAAGTCCCCCGCTGGCAGCCATCTTGGATTATGGATTAGCTTCAAATCACAACAATTGGTTAGCACCTCATAAGGAACATTCATGCCATGTTTGGTTTCATTCCATTCAGTGGTTCTCTAAAAGAAGACATTTGTATGTATTTCCCATAGGGTCCTATGTTAAACTAAGTCCCCCGCTGGCGGCCATCTTGGATGATGGATCGGCTACAAAGTAACAACACTTGGTCAGCACCTCATAAGGAACATTCATGCCATGTTTGATTTCGTTCCATTCAGTGGTTCTCTATAAGAAGACATTTGTATGTATTTCCCATAGGGTCCTATGTTAAACTAAGTTCCCTGATGGCGGCCATCTTGGATGATGGATTGGCTACAAAGTAACAACACATGGTCAGCACCTCATAAGGAACATTCATGCCATGTTTGGTTTCATTCCATTCAGTGGTTCTCTAGAAGAAGTTAAAAATGTAAAAAGTTAACAACGACGACGGACGACGACGGACGCCAAGTGATGAGAAAAGCTCACTTGGCCCTTTGGGCCAGGTGAGCTAAAAAGGGACTATCTTAAAAGTTCTATAAACCATATGTCAAATAAGTCACAAATTATTTAACAAATTGTGTTATTTATTGATTTTATTGTCATAGAATTTTGATATAAAAGAGTTGTGGTAAGAATAACGGTTAGTCATTTATCATTATTTTGTTAGCACTCAAAGCTTGAATTTTTAATCTAATTTCAATTGACTATTGACTAAAACTATTACTAGTACAATATTCTTATTTTTCAGGATCGTTACAGAACAGACTGCAATATAGCTGTTCAATTGTTACAATGTCGACCCTCAAATTTTATATCTCATAAATTAAATACGGTAAGTTGCATTTACTCCAAATGTACAGAAAATATTTCAGCTTCCTTTGTAGACATGCTTTAATATTAAACAGTGTTTTTGAACATATTAAGTTACATGAATATAAATATACCCTTGTCTGTCTGTACATATGTTTTGAAAATTAGTTTCTGTTCTCTAACTTTAGTGTGCCTAAAACAAATGTTATGAAACTTATACACAATGTTTATTACCACCAAACAATTTTAATTTGCCTCTATAGGTGGTTACCCCATTTTAAAAGTGCCTTCCCTGGGTACCATGTATGTTTTAATGGAACAGCCCTAATCAAGAAGATAACAAATATACAAATAAAACATAAGGCCATAAAAAAGAATATGTTTGTTTGCCCTAACCCTACCTACCCAGAAAATAGCTGCCTACTCAAAATCTCTTATTGTCCTGATGTGAAAAAGTTTTTTTTTTAATCAGATAGGCATGATATAATAAACAATTGACACTTCAATTTCTCTTTGCCAAAAAAAAAGAAAATGCCTGCCTACCTACCCACTGTCTCTACCTTCGAGTAGGGTTTGGGCAAACCAAAATATTTTTAAGTGTGGCCTAAGTGGATGCCATCAAAATAATAAACATATGAGAGTCCAGTTCAGTCCAGTCAAGGTATTACACTTTGCAGTCATGCTTGTCTTAACTCTCTAACCACAAAAAAATCCTGTCTTAATTTAAAGGCTTTACCAGGAAAAGTTATATAATATTTTGGTGTAGGGATTTGGAGCATCTTTTACATAAGGATGTACTTATTGAAATTTTACAGGTTGTGGAACTTAATAGTGTCTTCAAACCCTCCCATACATTTTTCCTGTTATAGTCCTAATAAACAGTCAAGGGTCTAACTTAAATAAGTTATTAGAGAAAAATAACATACATTTGTTATTGAGGGCGAAAAAATCAAACATCTGTGATAACATATGTATGTTACATGTTTCAAAGGGGCATTATACATCCTTTATTTTGTTACTAGTTCTTTTGATATTATAATTGTCTTTATGTATATTAAACTTTAGAAAGATATAACAGCCCATAGTTTGCCAATCATGCATAACACACCCATGTTATAACAGAAAAAGTATGCCTGTAATAACTCAAGGGTGTTATTACAGCTTCTCTACAACTCTTCAAAGCCTTTTCTCCTACATATATCACAATGTATTTTAATTTATTGTAATAAATAATGATAAGAGCATGTAATGAGGTTCTGCGCAAGCTTCCTAGTCATTCCCAAGTGTCTCATGTAATAAGTTAAATGCCTGTAATAACTAAGCATTGTTATTACAGCTAAGTTATTACTTAAAAGCCTAGCTTGTCTCATTGATTTACCATGGTTGATCAAAAATGTATTAATTGAATTGGAAAATTAGTTTTCAAGGTTATGTATTAAGTTTCTGCGCAAGTTTCAAGAATTCCCAAGTGCCCACTGAAAATAAAAAATTTTATGGTACATTTAACTGATAACAAACATATGTTACTACAGATTAAGAGAAAGTATCCATAATAACACATGTATGTTATTTTTCTCCAATAACTTATTCAAGTTACACCCTTGACTAATAAAGAAGCAATTATTATTTTATTTTCACAGCTTCCCATAGAATTTCAAGAAAGAGTTAAGAAACACATGACACAAGAACAAAGACTGAATTGTGAAGAGGCTCCGAAATCAGATGAATCAACAAAATTAATCCGTGTTCCTATGCCAACATTCCCGCCCACTGCCATGGTGTATTCTATAAATAATCCTACTAAGGACGAGAAAAAGGATGAGCCAAATGGCACAGTACCAATGAATCTCATTACCAAAGTATTAACACCAAACGAACCTCGTCGTAAACCCCGTCGAGTTTACTTGTGTGTCAAATGTAATGATGATGTCACATATCACGATAAAGAGGTGCAAGTTAATGTGTCACGTGACTCAGTAAGTAACCATAGTAACTCCCGAGTACATAGACCTCATGGTAGAGTACGTGCCAACTCTACAGAGACAGATATTTGACACAAGTAATTTAGTATTTTGGATTGTGTACATGTTATAGAATTTCTCCACTGAACACTGCATTAATAGAGATTGATCAAAGATCGCTCAACCCTGGAAGGATCACCTAAAATAGAAATACTCTTGAGTTGATATTTTTCTTTCTGATGTTGTTGAACGGTTCCAGAAGTTGAAAATAATTGAAACATTCTGAAATTGTCAGAAATATACCTTATCTTAAATGAAAACTTTAAAGTTTTCTGAAAAATATAAGTTACCTTGCTATATAAAATACAGATATGTCTTACAACCAAAAAATAAAGATTTAAACTTTTTTCAGATCACTAAATAGTATCAATAGGCAAATATTTAACACCTACTACAAACTATTTATATTGGATAGTATTTTCTTTTAAGGACGTTACTTGATAGAACAGTGTAGCAAGCAATTGGCCAAGTCACCAGGAACAATGTGAGCATATGTAGCAACAACTGTATGGAAAAAAAGAGAAGAAAATGTATATGATGCATTAAAAAATGAAATATTGTCATCGGTGCCACCATACCCATTTTTTTTCTCATGTCATCAGAATGCGAATATAGTTGTTTGATGTTTATGGTGTTATTTGGTGTTTCTTAAAGTTAAATTTGGTATCAAAAAGCTGATCCATCACGTTAGTAATGAAATTTGTCCTTCAGGTTGTTATATGGTGTAGATAGGGTTAACAGAATAGAGAATAATGTGTAGAATAAAGGGCAAAAAAATATAGAATAGAGAATAAAGAGGTGCTAAAATATAAAGAATAGCATGAATAGGGAAAAATGGGCTGCTAAAATATAGAATAGAGAAGAATGGGGTGCTTAAAAAAAAAGAATAAAATTTAATTGGCGAAAAAGATGTGAAATGAAAGACACCCCCCCACACATGTTAGTAGTCCGAGAGTGGTCGCTGATTATTAAACTTGGTGATGAACAGTGGCAATTAAATTATAGAATTGACTTGTTGTGTTTAAACATTGAAATTATGACTTAGATCTCTGTATACTAATATGTGTTCCAAGAAGCATTTTGTTTGGTTAAATTTGTTTGCCAGTTTTACTCTTAAGCCATGTCAGGAAGAATGTGCCTGAGTGGTCTTATTAGTTGAACTTCTGTATCACTAACCTGTCAACACTGAGGTTGTGAGTTTGAATCCCACACATGACAAGTGCGTTTGACTCTAATCTTAATTAACTAGGATTGCCAATGTTCCTGCCAAAGGTTGTGGTTCTCTACAGGCACTACAGCTTCCTTTACCAATAAACATTGATCACCATGAAATAGCCATTATCCCCGGCTTAGTATATTTCTAGGATTCTGATTGGTTAACGCACGTCGTTACAAAACCCATATCCCCTGGGTGTTGCTAACCCATATCCCCGGACGTTGCTACCCATTACATCGGGGAATTTCACGCGCGTTTTCCTTAGTTCCATGGTTGTTCCTTATGAAATATCGAATTCTGTAGATTTTCCATGATGTCTGTATAATTAAATATTTAATCCACTAACGATTTTATCTTATTATATCGATTATTTGCACTCATTTTAGTAAATGCATCACTATGCAGCCACATTGTCAATGAATGGTACTACTGACCTAGCTATGCAAATGACTCACGTTGTAGTCACACCGTTTATGATGTAACTCTCACAACATTGCGCGCCAAATTCGACCCATTTCAGTTTCTCTGTCTCTAGTTTAAAAACGTCTTATATTTGTCTACCTGTAGGGTTCTACCAAAGGTAGTACCCTACACCCCGTTAAAAATATGTCAAATTCCTAAATTTCAATAAAAGATATTTAAAAAATGAAAAAAACGTTGCTTTCACGTTTAATTTTGTGGTCGAATTTCTCTAAAAATCGCTATATTTAGACTAAGAGCGGGGATAAATTCGTTATCTACGTTCATATCCGTAGATATGGATATTTTAACACCCTTCAGTACCCTGTACACCCTTCGGCTACGCCTCAGGGTGTACTTTGATACTTCAGGGTGTTAAAATATCCATATCTACGGATATGAACGTAGATAACTTATAATAGTGCTGAAAGTGGCATTTTACACCAATCAATCAATCACTTTAATTTAATAGCCCTGAGATAAAGATTTTAAAAAAATCACCTATTTTTGAGGATTGTGTTAGTAATTGCTTTGTAAATAAATATAAGAAGATGTGGTATGAGTGCCAATGAGACAACTCTCCATCCAAGTCACAATTTGTAAAAGTAAACCATTATAGGTCAAAGTACAGCCTTCAACACGGAGCCTTGGCTCACACCGAACAGCAAGCTATAAAGGGCCCCAAAAATGACTAGTGAAAAACCATTCAAACAGGAAAACCAACCGTATTGTTAGCCAATATTTGCAAAAGTTGGTGTCAAAAGGTATTCAGATACAACAAATAGTTGCCATATTACTCTGGTTAATTTTGTAATTATGTTTTATTAACATGGGCAAATAACTGAAGTGGATTGAAAAACTGCTTCACTGTTATTCAATCCTATAAAAAGAAGAATGTTAGAATTTTTTTTTAGAAACTACTAAATGAAACTTTTTATTAAATATGAAAATTTATCTGTTGCCCTTAATTTTTTACTAACTTAAGATTTTTCCATAATGAGGGGAAAGAAAATCTCTAAAAGGTAGTATATATGAAAAAAATATACACATGTTATAAAATTGTACTCAGTTCATTGATGTTGATGAATGGAAATCTAACTAAATTTGTTTGATCTTAAATTATGAAAAGCTAAATTTAACTTGTTTATGAAATAATATACATGTATGTAGTTTAATGTAAGTTATGATATACTCATTATTATTCTCTATTTTTACATGTTAATTTATAGAAGTGTATCTACTTTCAATTGTGTTTAGGAGGAGGCATGGCTGCTCCATTCAAACTCAACAAAATAACCATGGAGGCATCTTCACTATCCAAGGGTTACAACCAAGTCCCCTCCTCATGGAGAGAAGGGGACTGGATCGTAACCCTTGGCTAGCGAAGATGCTAGTTAACATGCAAGTTTAAATTTTAAGTTTATATATTATCATCAAATTATTCTTATTTAATGCATATTTTAACGCATAATATTCAAATACTTTTGTCAGTTTTGTGCCAAAAAATATTTTTAATGTTTATAATTTGAAAAGTATATATATCATAGTGTATAATTGGCTGTGTATGAATTGTATGTCAAATATACTGGACTGACATCAATATAGATTTAGGTAGAAAATATGAGTACAATGTCCTTGTTTTTAATATAAATGTCTAGTACACAATACAGTATTATGTATTGTTTTAAGTATGTTCGCTTCTCTTGTTTTTGACTTTTTGTCAGACATTTGGAATCCTCTGGTTTTATCAAGGATTTGTATAGTACTATATTGTTATACAAATCCTTGGTTTTATCCATGTAGTGTCAATAAAAATTTTGCCCGGTAACCCTTCTTTTCTTTTCATAATTTTATTAGATAATGTTTAAAAAACAATTATGAAAATCTTATAAAATCCTTGTTATTTTTAGATAGTTTTTTTTAAAGAAACAAGGTGCCAATGTTAAATGTATGTAAAATCTATTAGATAGTTTTTTTTAAAGAAACAAGGTGCCAATGTTAAATGTATGTAAAATCTAGAGAGAATCATTTCGCGCCAAATTTTCAATTTATTATATCTCAAAAACAAGGACACAAACTTGTCATTTTTTCTATTTTTTAAGTTCCTTTATTTACATACTATCAATTTTATAACAGTCTTTTAAAATGCTTGTTAGTTTGAAAGAAGAGAGAGCATCCTTAGTATACTATAAACTTATTTTCAGGGGCGATTTATTTTCCTTGACTTTTGCAAGTATAAAATAAATAATTTCAAAAATTTGAAATTTTTAATTTTTTTTTATTTGAATACATGAATAAAGTTAGCAAATCACAAAAAATAAAAAGGCACAAAATTTGGTTGGAACGGGTTCAACACAAAAAGTACCTGGGAAAAATCAGTGTATTTGCAGTGATAAATACATGAATGATGTGCTAGTATTGTTACACTACTGTCCGAAGGAAGTGGGAGGCTTGAGTGCTCACAAAATTTTTTAATCCTGCCTCATGATTTATATGCCTGTCATTCAGTGGTTGTTGGTTTCCATCTGTCATAACTGTATTCATTTTATGTCATTAACTTAATTCAGGCTGTTAGTTTTCTCTGTTGTATTGATTCACTTGTTGTTTGAATGTATTGATTCACATGTTGTTTGAATGTATTGATTCACATTTTGTTTGAATATATTGATTCACATTTTGTTTGAATGTATTGATTCACATTTTGTTTGAATAATTCTGCATCTGATTGTAGTTCATGGAATGTAATGGCTGAATTATTGAGATTAATATTTCTGTTACATTTCAGTTATCCATAACACTATTTTTTTGTTGCTGTCAGATTTGCTGTTGTTTTGAATTTAAGAATAGTTTTTGTAATGTGAAGGAAAGCAACTGTATAACTGGTTAATTTCTCACATTTTCAAGGACTCAGCACAATAGGTGTTTTATTAAAATTGTGTGTTACAGGATTTTCGTTTTGCTTCTTGTTTTAGATTTTCCCCCCAGATTAACTTTTTTGGTGAAATACTTTTCAGAGAGCAAAATGAATGCATATTTTAATATTTCACAAACTAGTGCTCTTTTCACAAAGAATTTTACGATTAAAATTAATCAAAGGTTACCTGTACACTGCAATGTACTAACTTTTTATCATCAGTTTTATATGGAAAAAGAGTGGTTGGCCCTTTTGTTTGTTATAAATGTTCCACATAAACTGAAGAAAAGTCCTTTACGACTTTTGACAAAAAGTGTTGTTATTTGTATTTTCTTCTCCATGTAATCAATTTTCATTTAAAATTTTGGAAGGGAATTGTATTATTTGTGGCATTGTATTTTTTTCCCGCTTATATATTATTGACATGAATTTTATAAATTTACTTTTATGAATACTCTGAAATGCAATAGCCAATAGTTTGAACTCCTCACACAAGTGCAATAATTGTCAATTTATTTTAAGATGACTTATGACACATACAATATCGGCCAACTGAGCTTTAGCCATTTCTTGGTACCCATCATTGTCTGTCGGAAGCTTTTAAAATTTTTCTTATCTGAAGCACTAGTCTTATTATGCATTGATGGACAAATTCAGAAAATGTATTGCAATATAAAACACCAATATCTCAAACAATCTGATAGTTCCATGCATCATTTACAAAGACACTGAGCCGGCACAAAATCATTTACCAGGACGTTAGTTAATTTGTTTCTGAATTTTATTTTAAAAGAACATGGGTCCATCTATTAATATCCATTGGTATATAAACCAAACAATAACAAAAATACCAATTGATCTTTTTCCCATCACAGCTGTTAAGATGATAATGGTGAAATGGCTTAAGGTTTTTGAATATTTAACTAACTATTGACTTATATTACCATAAAATCTTGGTTGTATATGAACCATGATTCTGTCTGAAGTCCAAGATGACTACCATTATTTTTCTTTGATCTGCCACCACAATATAGCCATTTTCCATAAAAACAATCAATATTCACTCAATCAATCTTTGATCTGCATATTACAAGCCTGTTTGGACAAAATATTTTAACCTTGTCCTAGATCAAGATTAACAGTTTTCCTTATAGTGACTGATACAGGTTGACGTAGTTATTAAAAGGTTTAGAATTGATAATAAAGGTATTATTTGTAATTCGTACTCATTGTATGTCACATTTATCATTTGTATGAATTGAATTATGGACAGAACAATAATGGATATGTCAGTTTTGAATCTAATATGTCCCAATAAAGAAGATACATTTAATTTGTTTATTGTCCTTATACTGTAAATTCAGAAATTATTGCATGCATTTATTATTGCGATTTTTTGAAAATTAAACAAAAATGCAAGTTTGATTTTAGCGATTTGAGGAAAAGCTACATACAGATATAAGTATTTGATAACAGAATGTGAATTCTTATTATTGCAATACTCAAGTAGTCGCATTATTCGCATTAATAAAAACCTCGCACGAATTTCTGAATTCACAGCAATGTTAATTGTCATGCAATTAAAATTAATATGTTGTGATTTTAACAATTCTTTTACAGCTGCTTTTCACATATAGAGTATTCGTTGGAGCAACTAGATATCATTGAGATGGGAGCCATCTCTGTGGGCCCCGCTGTGAATAATGTGTGGTAAAAAATTTGTATCTTTATCATTGGACATGGGGTTGTCAACTGAAACCGAAGTGTTTGACCTTGACCTTTGATCTAGGAAGTTGAACATAAATTATGACACAACCTCTGGTGTTGGTTTATATACATGTCAAGTATAAACATTGAAATCATAACGGTTCTCAAGATATAGAGTGGACACGATCTTTACCATAGACATGGGGTTGTCAACTAAAACCAAAGTGTTTGACCTTGACCTTTGACCTAGGAAGTTGTACATACATTATGACACACCCTCTGGTGTTGGTTTATATACATGTCAAGTATAAACTTTGAAATCATAACGGTTCTCAAGATATAGAGCGGACACGATCTTTACCATAGGACATGGGATTGTCAACTAAAACCAAAGTTTTTTACCTTGACCTTTGACCTAGGAAGTTGTACATACATTATGACACACCCTCTGGTGTTGGTTAATATACATGTCAAGTTTAAACTTTGAAATCATAATGGTTCTCTAGATATAGAGCGGACACAATTTGTTAAGGACGGACGGACAGACTGATCACTGTAGGGCGTCCGCCATTCGGTGGGGCCCTAATTATTAAAAATTACATGTTGTTTATGAAATTACATAAGGGCCCACTGATTAATCAGCAGAAGGCCTATAGCAATCTGTTCTTTAGTGAGTGGGTCAGATCATCACAAATTGTTTCCACTCTCAAACTGTTAAACCCCCTTGGAGTTTAACTAGGAAGCTTGGCACCATTTTTCACCACTACCAGGTGTGACACGTACAAAAAAAAAAAAATTTTATACTGAAAGTCTTGGTCAAAAACTTAATTCAACTTGGCCACCCCTTTGCATATGTGCAAAAATAAGTTCAGTTCTCCAACATTCAAACCTCTTGGAATTAGGGGATAACACTTTTCATGATTATTCATTTCTAGAAAATGTTTGGCAGAAAAAAAGTTGAGGTCAATTGAGCTGCTCCTGTACATAATTATGTACAAATATAGTTCCTGCTATGTAACTTTTAAGCCTCTTGGAGTTCAGGGATGAAACTTGGCATGATTATTTACCACATCTGGAAATTGTGTTGTGTACACAGAAGAAAACATTAAGTTGATAATCATGGTCAAAATTTAGTTAGACATCCCCTGTGCATATATATAGAATAACCCTAATTGCAACACAATTTACTTATTTACATCCTGCTCAGCCTTCAGTGATGGCTCTCATCCATATTCTCTAGTTTGGTATTGATGGCAGATCTTGGATAATCAGTCTGAAATTTATTAATTTTTTGAGGGAGGGCAATTTAGAGCTTTACACATTGTATAGATGCCTGTATTTTGATGACCATATATTGACCTCTAGATATCTTTATGTAGTTGGTGTCATTGGGTTGATGTTTTATTTGTGTATACATGTAGTGTACCTTGGCTCATTGAACTAGAACTGAAAATCGAAAAAATAATGCATTTATCCATTTTATTCTACTGATTGAATTCTTTCAAAATAGGTGAACATTTGAAAAGAAAGCACATAAAATCGGTGAAAAATGTTCTTAAATTTGTCTTAAAATCATCAAATGTTCACATATTTTGAAAGAATTTAATCAGTAATATTTCAGAGAATAAAAGAGATAAATACTCTATTTTTTCAATTTTCAGTTAAGAGTTCAACAAGCCAACGTTGTATGCAAAATTTTACTAAAATCTGTGACATAGACCATTTGTTGTTCCTTGACCTTAAATGCTTTTTAGTCTTTCTTCTTTCTTCTAGTTTAATTTTTATTTTATCTATCAGTGATTTGGGATTCTGGGGTTTTCTATACCAAATCATTGATTTAGCCATTTCTGGTTATATCTCCTTAAATACATGTGTCACTCAGCAGAATTCCAAATACATCCACATACCGGAGTTGTGCACCTGCTATTTTAATTTTTCCATCTTTGTGAATTTTCGAGTTTAATATATTATATACCAAAGTGTGGTATTTGGACACAGATCTTTATGGAACCTCACACATTTTTCTAAAATGGTTTCCACATATATATATATAAAAAAAAAAAAACAGTCATTCTAAAGTTATTTTTATTGAGACAAATATCACAGTTATTTTGGCTTACAGTGTAAAGACCAATCACCTATTTACCTGATTATAATATCAAATTTTGGACAGCTAAATTAAGGAGAAGGTATAATAAACGCATACTAGCTACGGAAGTTACAACCTCTTATTTATACATCTTAATTGCTAATTAAAGTTTCAAATTTTTGCTTTTTGAAAGACAAGCTGTTTGCTGGAGAAAAAAATCCTTGAACTAGTATACATTAAAAAAAAAGGGTAGTGCTTCATGATTGTTTAACTTTTTTTTTAAAACTATCTTATTTAATATAACTACTTCAGTTGAAGATTTATTTCTAGGAATTTAGATTTAAATAAAATAACAATTTCTTAAATGAATTATTGTCATAATATTTCTATATTATTTTAACTGAACGATTTTCATTAACTTGCATTTATGAAAAGTGGCCTAGTTTTAGCTTCAAAACAAATACTTTCTCCAATATAATTAGTAAAATACAGTTACGCCTTGTCAAAATTTCTCAAATATGTGCAACAGCAAATGAAATACATTCTCTGAGGAAATTCCATTTGCACAAATCTTATAAAATGTTTAAAAATGTCAACTAGATGGTAATTTAAGGACCCCATTTATTATACCTTCTCCTTTGGCATTCTACAGAGTGTTAACTACCTAGCCTATAAATCAAAATTACTCATGGTACAACTCCATAAGAAACTAAAGACTATGTAAACTGATCAATGCTAAAGACTCAATCCATATCAAACAGAATCAAATTGGAAATTCCTGCCACAGTTTCATAAGGAAAACAGATTTCAGTGATTCCATTTTAGCATAGTTGGGACTTTTGAGTTTATGATCAATGTAGTTAAATGTAACATTTTGCAATAAACCTACATTCAATTTGAGTTTTGTAAATCTAAAAAATAATTCATTAAAATTTTATTTGTGGTAGTTGGTTTTATGTACCATTTTCTTCTTACTTTTATACAAACTTATAAAAAATTTCAAGAATTTTTCATCCCCTTACATAATCAATATGGATTATTTTTACAAGTCCATGTTTTGGAAAAATGGTCCCCTATTTCCGATTTTTCTGATTAACATACTCATCTCTGGTTCTAATGAGTGGAAACCTTCATCCAATTCTAAAAAGAAATCCTCAAAAAATTAAGGCTGCATGATGACAAGAAATAATATGGACAATTTTTACAAGTTCCCCTCCCTAAAAAAACGGCTCATTTTAGAATTTTCTAATTATTAAAATTATCTGTTGTTCTGATTGTTCTGAGTGGAAACTTGCATCAAAATTTGAAAAAAAAAAAATGAAGGCTATAATGGCGACAGGAAATTATATGGGTGATTTTTACAAGTCCCCCTAATGAAAATATGGTTCCCCATTTAAAAGTTTCAGGATTTTCCCATTTGATTCGGACATAATGTAATTATTTAAACCAGTGACTGAATAAATATCACTTTGTATTTATAAAACAACAAAAGTTCCCCTTCATCCATGTTAGTAAAATTACATAAATTTTCAAATCAATTCACCTTGGATAACATGAACACAAAGTAAAACAACATAATACAGTACAGGCTCACTGGTAAAGAAGGGGGTATTGTAACATCATTATGAATACTGATTTTACATTTTCTCTAGAAAGAGCTTTTACTATTATCATCATTATTTTTATGAACAATTTTCATAATCATCTTTTAAAAGTGTCAAAAAAACAAATTTTGCAACATAAAAAAAAACATGCATAACATTCTGTTTTGCAAGCTTCTGTTAACTTTTCATTTCAACCAAAATCAAAGATTTTTTTTGTGTCGTTGGGTTGATTCCTCACTGATGTATATCCTGTATCTCCTTTTTTACATAAATTAGAGAACTGGTTTATCACCAAATCTTATTTTTATTGATTCATGATAATAATTTAAACAGGAAGCTCTGATTGAAAGTTCCAAAGCAAAATGGGACCAAAATTTCATATGTGGCCGTAGTGTATAAGAATATATAAGTATTTCCTAAACAGGAAGTTGCTGAGCAAAGGAAGCAAAAATGCATCCAACAGTATAACATGTTCATATGAAGCTTGATACAAAACTTCAGGAAGATCTGAATGTTGTACTTCCTGTGAAAATGCATTATGTTGTCTGCTCTTTTGTTGGGTTGTTGTCTCTTTGACATATTCCCCATTTCCATTCTCAATTTTATTAAAAACTTCAGGATACGGACAGAGACAATACAGTATACCTTGGAGATATTCCAGTCAAAGATATATACATATGTATAGACAAAAAGAAGCTGTATGTTACCCCCATGAGCCACAAAAGAGCACCACTCTAAAAGCATATTTAACAATTTTGACAACTAGTTTCTAATTTTTTTTACATATTATATTTATCATGAACCATATAACAACTTAAATTTGAAAAATTACAAAAATTTTAAAAATGCCCAGAAAGGCAAGCTGAGTCAAATTATTTACTAGCTGTTTTATTTTAATATTAACTCCTTAAGAAATCTAATTTTGTATTATATAATATAAACACACCTCTTTTGTTCATCATAAGTACAATAATAAAAACATAACATATCAGTTCCTGTAATTGCTTTTATCTTTCAAGTTAAAATAAGCATTATGTAGCTTGCAAAGATTTTAAAGTTTCTGGGAGAAAAAATATTGATATGAAAAATTCTTAAGGGCAACAAATGTATGATCACATTAAAAAATAAGAAATTATTGGTTTTCAATAATCAATTGATTGATTGTTAGTGTTTAATGTCAGGAAATAGTAAAAAAATATATATCACAATAGAAACAAAAAATTCGTAAGGGTTCCGCGGAACCCAGTGTCTCGCCTACTTTTGCTGTTAATCGCAGGCTCAACAAAAATGAGGAAAAAAAATAATAAAAATGTTCCTCTCTATACTATCTTCTGATTTTAAGTAGCTTCTGTCCAAGTTTGGTAAAAATCCAGGATAGTTTATGAATCTAATAAATGTTTTAAAAACTTAAAACTGCAGACTGTATGTAATGTTAACTGGAAGAAAATTTAAATCCATTTATAAGTAAAATACAGAAAAAATGGAACAAAATTTTAACAAAATTTCCTTCTAGATACTAGCTTTTAATCATAAACAAGCTTCTGTCCAAGTTTGGTACAAATCCAGGATAGTTTAAGAAAGTTGTTAAAATTTTAAAAACTTTAACCACAGAGTGAATGTATTGTTAACTAGCAGAAAAACTAAGTTCATTTATAAGTAAAATACGAAAAAAACGGATTTTTTTTGTACAAAATTTACTTCTGGATACTATCTTATGATCATAAACAAGCTTCTTTTCAAGTTTGGTAGAAATCCAGGATAGTTTAAGAAAGTTATTAAAATTTCAAAAACTTTAACCACAGAGTGAATGTTATGTTTCCTGGCAGAAAAACTAAGTCCATTTATAAGTAAAATACGGAAAAAAACGGATTTTTTTTTTTACAAAATTTACTTTTGAATATAATCTTATTATCATAAACAAGCTTCTGTCCAAGTTTGGTAGAAATCCAGGATAGTTTAAGAAAGTTATTAAAATTTCAAAAACTTTAACCACAGAGTGAATATTTGTGGACGCCGCCGCCGACGACGACGACGACGACACCGACGCCGACGGAATGTAGGATCGCTATGTCTCGCTTTTTCGACAAAAGTCGAAGGCTCGACAATAATAAAATATAATAGAAATATACTTTCTTAAACATAAAATATTGCAACAGAACAATAAAACTAATAACAATTGAGCATAATAAAAATTGTCAAAGCACAAGTCAATCAGAATAAAATACAAACCCTGTGTCCACACTTTGCTTACAAGGGTCTGACAACACTCCAATCTATTTTCTGTTCTGGTATTTAATATATCAACCAATCAAATTCCTGCCTACAAAGTTTTGAAAGTGTGTATCATTACAGCAATACCAGAGAATCTCTAAAGGTAGTTAAAACAGAAAGTAGAACCAAATATTGTCAGATACTTGAATGTGAGGCTTGGACACAGGATCTATATTACAATCAGATTGAGCACAACAGAAACTCTTAGACTTGTCCCATCTTTAAACATCACAACCTTGTTACCTGTACATTGAACAAGCTTTTCAGCAAGCTATTCCATTATAACAGATTTAGGAGGGTAGGTAGGTAGTGTCTTCCAAATCCCCCAATACTTACATCATTCTTTCTTTGAGTAATTTTGCTTACAACATATTGACATAAACAATTCTGAAAGACCCCTGTTAAAAATAGAACTTCCCTTTCTTCCCTCCCATTTTATTTAAATAGAATAGCCCTTCCCTTTCTACCCTCACATTTTATTTTAATGGAATAGCCCTTCCCAAATGCTTCTCAAGATATTTGGTATGACTAAATTTTATGACCTAATAAACATTTAATTCTAAAATAATACAATACATTCTTCTTTATCATTTCTACATTCACATGTTTCTAAAATTTGAATTATCCTTACATATATTTTCTAATTTTCCAATTTTTTGCATTTCCACCTTGCAAGTAAAATTAGTTGGCGGATACTGTATTGTCAGAAATTATTGCGAGTTTTTTAATAATGAGAATAATGCAACTGGGTGAGTATCACAATAATAAGAACTCCTATTCTGATATCTGATTAACATATATATGCAGCTTTTCCTGAAATTGCAATAATTGATTTCGCATTTTTGTCCATTCTTCAAAAATCACGACAATTAATAAAATGCATGCAACAATTTCTGAATAAACAGTATATGGTTCCATTTGTAAGATAAACAACTCTACACATTCATTGATTTTAGACAATACACTGTTGTCTTAAACAATGACTACACTAATTATGATAATAATATAAATGCCATTTGTGACATTATTACCCTTTGTAAGGTACTGACATCAATTTTTTGCAAATATAAATAAGCACTTAACTTTTCAGTTTTATCACCTTTTAGAATGATATATCCATTCTGACAAAATTGGATGAAACAGACAATAAATGAAATAGGACAACTTCCTCCCCCTCCCCTTTCCTAAAAAAAATAAAAAAATGGAGATAAAATACAATGTTTTTACCAAAATGAATTTTTTCAAACTTTAGATTTTAATTTCCATTCGTTCATATTTTTTTTCAACAATAAACTGATCCAATTAGGAAACAAATATAATGGATGATATCAAATTGCCAGATGAGTAAATTTCTATTTGCGTAGCAGTATATTAATTTTTGTAGTACATTGTCCTTTCTTTAACCTTGAGCTCTCTTACAAATAACCCATCACCCTCATCTTTTGCAAACCATGCATTACAGGGAAAAACATATTCCTCATACAGAGGAACTTTGAGTACAATATTATCAGACATTCTACGTTGATTTTTCTTGTCTTTGTCTTTTGATTTATATTCCTCCTCGCTATCACTGGAATCACTACTACTAGAAGAATCTCTTTTCCCTCTTTTCTTTTTCTGTGCTTTCTTATTGTTCTTTTCCTTTCTTCCTTTCCTACCTCTGAGTTCTTCCTCTTCATCAGAACTTTCATCGTATTTAGAACGGGATTTAGTTGATTTTTTTCGCTTTCTCCCTTTCAGGTCTTCATTGTCAGAAAGTTCATCATCATATTTTGAACGAGATTTCGATGATCTTCTGCCTTTTCTCCCTTTCAGATCTTCATTGTCGGAAAGTTCATCATCATATTTTGAACCTGTTTTCATCAATTTTTTCATCCTGTCTTCGAGTTCATCCACTTCATCTTTACCTCCTTTTCTTTTTTTACGCTTCATTTTTTCTGCCTCTTTCTTTGTTTTCTTCAGATATTCAACAATCTCTTTCCTCTGCAGGTAACGTTTTATCTTTACCTGTAAAATACATCACTTCAAGTCATCAAGATGGACCAAAAGTAATCTGATGTTGTGTGATGTTTATCAGTTTTCAACAATTCAGATGTATTAGTATGTTAAATGAAGCGAATGGTAAAAAACATGTAATCTATGACTGGATTTGTATAATGGATATTAATGCTTGTTACCCTGATTTGTCTTAATCAATTTACAACATTTGAACATCGATAATCTACTGTTGCCTTTATGTATTCACCATATAGTGTTTAATTGGCGTGTTTAATTCATGATCATTTATCCGTACTACTATAAAACTTATATATAGCTAAATCAGGGAATAAAGCCACAAGAATCTGTGTCCATAGACCATAGGACATGATGTTCTGCTCACGTTTAGTGAACTGTGTAATTGGGGTCAAAATCTTTTTATTGGTCTATAATTCAAAAAGTTTTACATCATAAAGATAATGTGTACCTAGATAAGTTGGTGTGACCACACATTTATGGTAATCTACTTTGGCCAAAAGTAACCTTAAACAGGACCACTCCCCCCCCCACCTCATAAATCTTTATTTTTTATTTTAGAATAGAGCCTTGTCAATATTTGTTAAATTCAAAAGTGTAAAATTGCATGAAACAAAGGAAATTTAGGAAACATCCGGATGGAGTTCAATCCAAAATGCAGCAAAAAACATAGTTCTCCAGTTAGCTCAAGTCTCAAAATCAGTTTTGTTATCGATTGATGTGTTGCTTTTAGTGTTTTTGTCCATTTTGTAGTTTGTTGTTGTTCAGAAATTGTTTGAAAGTCTCCATAAAATTTTTTCACAGTTTGCTTTAATAGACTGGGATGATTGAAATATAGTGAAGAACCCTCTAGATTTCTGTTTTGTTATAATTCTGTTATTGGATGAGTTTCAATGATGTTCACTGTTTTGTAATACAAAGTATATCTCACATCTTGTAAATACCATCCTGCCCCTGGTCCAGAGTTATCATGGCCTATTGTAATGGTCTTGATAGGGCCAACATCAACATCTTCATACTGAAAAATATAACATGCCATGTTTAAGATAAAGTATTTAGTCTTCACATAGATTCTATTGTCCTGTAGAAGAAATTCTTACAGTCAAAATAGAAATTTCACAAGCCTAGGCTGGTGTGGCCAAGCATGATATTTTCAGTTATTATGAGTTATAGGTCAACTATATTCAGGATATTAAGAATCATTGGAAGGTATACAAGTCTATCAGACAGAGTTCACCTGTCCTTAACCTCATTTCATGCATAGTAATTGTCGAAAGGGCTTCATATTGTGTCGAGCAGCTGATGTTTTACAATATAAATATGCAGACAAGATAACTGATTTATCGGATTATATTTGCATATTTTGCATAATAGAAACAAGTATTTTCTTTGTTTCACCAGCAACCGGAAGAAGACTGTGTAAGTTCAGGTCAAACTTATCAACGTCGGTTCATACATTATGACGTCACTGATATGTCCGGGTCAAAGTTATTAAGGCCGGGTCAACGTATTTGACGTCACAAAGCGGTGATATGCAATTTTATTAAGAGCTGAGCAGAGTGATACAGACAGTGGGACGACCGATAATTTTTCATATCAAGCTACTCGAGTGATATGGGTTGTTCTCAGTCGTGTAGAAAGAGAGTGAATGTTGTCATGAGCCTGGCTCACTGACGTTGCTTCGGAAAACAGCGATAAATAGATAATCAAAATCAATGGTATTTCAAAATCAAGGATGTTTCTCTGCTACATTTCATCTGAGGGTTGACACTCTTCTAAGAGATTGTAGCTGAGAAACACCCTCTCGTTTGAAAAAAAAACATTGATAATCTATAATTCTTAGATACTATAAGCAGTAGGTAGCAATATTTGGTGTATAGAATTGAAAAATGCATTTCATTGATAGAAAATATTGGGGTTTGATTAAAAGCAAAATCCATGAAAACTGGAACTTCAATAAAAGTACATTTACAGTTATATACAATAATCAAAACCAAGACAAATCATCTAAATGAAATAAGCCATAGGTTATTGAATAAAGTTCTGTCTTATTACTTTACACATGATGAAAAACTATAGATTTTTTAAGTAGACATTGAAAAATATGGACATATGCTAGACAGAAACCTCAGACCATTAGGCACATTTCTACCTCTTGAAAAGTCAGCTGATTTAACAAAACCTAAACTAAATAATGACAAATCATGTGATCAACAATCTGATCAGCTGATTTTACCTGGAATGAATCAAGTTGACCTCTCTCAAAATTATTTTTTTCGTCATCAAGAGTTTTTTTCTTGGTCATGGTTTTCTCTCCGTTGATTTGTATAAAAACATTTGCATCTGTCCCAGCATATCTCTTATCACCCGTCTTTATAAATATCATGTACTTTGTCTTTTGTCCTGATTATATAAAAAAAAAGCAGAATAAAAGTCAATTAATTAATTTTCTTAGAATATAAGTGCAATATATGCAACAAAAGACACATTAAACAACCGTATAAATTCAAAAATAATTAAGAGATGTTTATATTATTGCAAACAATGTCTGACCATAACCATGGATTTCCAAAAAAATGGTTTATAATTTTATAACAAATTCTACCAGAATTACATCAATTTATCTCTCACTGTTGTTGTCTGTCAGGGATTGGCAATATCAATTTTGAAATAATTGAGTTATTAAAAATAGAAATGGTACAATATTTCCCCCATACATTATCAAGTGACTGATTATTTTTTACAGCAGACCTTGTCTGTCATATTTGAATGATGCACAGTGCAGGGATTAGTTTACATCCATGTCCTTTTTCGTCTTAGTAGGGAAGTTGTCTCATTGCAACAACTCACAAGGATAGCAGAAGATCCAAAACATCAGCAGATTATCACATGTACAATTCCTTGTTGCAGTTAACCAATTATTCTTCAAAAAATGGTGGAGAACTTTATTTCAGAGCCTTTTATAGCTGACAATGCAGTATGGGCTTTGCTCATTGTTGAAGCCTGTACGGTGACCTTTAGTTGTTAAATTCTTTGTCATTTGGTCACTTTTAGAGAGTTGTCTCATTGGCAATCATACCGTATCTTCTTATTTTTATACTAAACAAGAAAAGATGATTTAGATTGGAGTTCTAGGAATGTATCTGAGAGATCCTCATGCAAAGCCATGACTCCTTGTCCTGGTTTAGCTTTACTTTTGGTCCAATTTAATTTTATCAGCTCTTCGACCTTTGTAATTGGGTTTTCAAATATTTTGTCCTTGAGCATCACTGAAGATGATAATTAATTGTTGAAATTTTCATTTGGGGTATTAACATTTGTCCTCTTAACGTTATTTCTAAACATCAGTCAGGATTCAAAAATTACTTATCAAACATATCTTTTGGAACAACTGACTTATGATAAATATGAAGAAAAAAAATATATTAAATAAACTTTAATTTCTCTAAATCTACAAAAATAAAAATAACACTGCACACAGAAAAACAAAACATCTAATATTTTCAAATCCTGTAATCTCTGTCCAAGATTAGGGTCAATTCCTACATATTGTGGATTTGGTGGGAAAGGGAAACCTTGAATTGAAATACTTGACGATAGACTTTTAGTTTACTTTGATCCGTGCAAATGATGAAACCATGTAATAAAATACACTTGAAATTTAAGAATTCAATTGAAAATATTTCTCCAACCATAATATATTTACTGAAGCAAGGATTGTCAGGGGGCCCAAGATTGTGCTATACATTTTATCAATGCAATAACACTCTAAGAAAGTTAAATTTTGTTATAAAAGCACACGATGTTAATTCAATGTTATGAAAGTGTATTAAGCATTTCACTCAATGTTAGTATGAGTTGTTTAAGTAGGAAAAGATTATTCTAAACATAACAAAAGGGAGATAACCTATTAAAAACAACAATAAACAATCATGTTAAATGAAATTCTTTTGTAAACGATCTGTTACTGTAAAATTCAGAAATTACTGCAATGTTTTTATTAACGCTGAAAATGTAACAGTATCTGGTTTGCAATAATAAAAACATGCATTCATAATTTCACCAGTGATTTTCCCTCATAAATTTTTTGAAATAACATTACCTGTCATTAAATTTAGCATTTTTGCCGGAGGTCAAAGTTTTGCAATAATAAATGTATGCATTAATTTCTGAATTTACAGTTTATTATTCCTTAATTTCGAACCACAAAAGAACTTCAAATAATAATTCTTTAAAATTTCTATTTGCATCCTAGCAACAAACAAAAGTAACATTATAATAACAATAGACTATTTTCATATAACCAACTTTTGACTCTGGATTATATAATTTTTCGACGTTATCTACTCTGCTGTTGGACATCCTAGAACTCAGTCAAGTCAGAGGGAACAAAAGAAGTAAAATCAAATTTATAATCGGTGCAATTTGGTCGGAAAGTTTACTGTTTTCTTATCATTTTGTTGTGTATAGAAAACATAAAACAGTTAGTTTCTCCCCGAAATTGTACAGATTGAAAGCTTGAATTTACTTCTTTACGTTGCTCTTATCTGACCGAGTACCAGGATGTCCTACCACAGAATAGTTAACATGTTGAAAAAATATAAATTCCAGAGTCGAAAGTCGGTATTATGAAAATAGTCTATTAAAATGATGTATCCAATAAAAAAAGAATCCTAGATTAAATCATGTATTATAAAAAAAAACAGGTCAAACTTCATGAAAAGAAATATATTTCATCTGAATTCAATTGGCTGCATACAATTTGTATTTCTTTAATATTACGGATACTGGGTATTGTTTTTTACTTCACACTGAGATCATCCTTATAAAGCTACTGATGAAACTTCTCTGATATCGTTAGACATGAAATGATGTTAATAAACGAATGATTTCATGCCATTAAGTGTAAAGAATTTAAACTATAAATCAGGGCTGAGGCCATACCAATTGAGTTCTTTAATTGAGTAAGTAACACCAAAAGAGAACCTGAAGAAATTTAAATTAGTTTTCAAGCTTTTCAAAATCTTTAAATTTTTATATAAAATATTTAATTATAGAAATTTTTGTAATGGCTGCAAAATTAATATAAAATCATTTCAGGCCATGCTAAAACTTTTTTCCTATTCTATAAATTTCTTCATCAATTTATAATTTTTGTTCAAATATGAGTTTTACCCCTATCAATGATGATGACAAAAATGAATAAATTCAAAATATTACTTCCAACTATTGAAAATAGATTTTGTACTGCAATGAAGTGATTTTAAAATGAAGAATTTGCAAAATAAGTCATTATAAGAAGCCTGTTTATTTAAGAATATGGTTCTTACTTGCTGTCTACGAACATGTCATTTTCAATAATATTCATTGAGATAATTTCACCAAGAGTTAAAATGTATCTGGCTCTTATTTTTATTTTCAAAATACTAGAATATTTATGAAAATTGAATGTGTTGTAAGTTTAAATAAGTTTGATGTAACATGTCGTCTGGTCAGGCGAGATTCATGTCACTACGCATACCCTGGCCCATTCATTATTTACCAAGAAGAAAAAATTACACCGAACAAAGAATTTAATTGGTATGGCACAAGAATGATAAAAATGGACAACAATAATAAAAATAAAGGTTAATACCTGCTTGTCCACCTGAAAATTGATTAATTTCATTTTTTAAATACATTTATTTCCAAACAAATACAGCTGAATTTAATTTAATGCGCCTCCATCCAAAGTTATCATAAAGACTACACTATATCATAGCCAATATTAATCCTAAAACAAGCACCTGCTTTAACCACCTGAGTAAATAATAATATAATATTATTTAATAATAAAAATAATAATTCTTTATTTAAAGAGGGTTACACAGTTAACTACAAAACTAATCTTCCCTGAGGCCCTCATGAAATACAAAATAAAAAATTATACACTAAAATGCATTTGGCAAATCGACGATTGGTAAAATGCAATGAATAGCCACAAGTAGTGGCTTATATTTTGATGAATATAATTCCAGTTTTCTTGCAACTGTTTAATATATTCAATGTTTAAATAATAATAGCTAAAGAAATGGAAATTGATTAAACATAATTTTCTGTGGATTCATAATAATTCTTAAGACACCAATTTTCGTGGCTTTTGTGGGAATAGGTGAACAACGAAATTCAATGTTCAACATACTGTAAATTCAGAAATCATTGCGAGGTTTTTATTAATGCAAATAATGTGACTGGTTGGGTATCGCAATAATAAGAACTCACTGTCTGATATCGAATACTTATAGCTGTAGGCATATTTTCCTGAAATCGCAATAATTAATCTTGCATTGTTGTCCTTTCTTTTAAAATCGCAATAATAAATGCGCGCAATTATTTCTGAATTTACAGTAGTACAAATTTTTCAAATGTTTGTATGCAGACTTTAGCAAAACCACAAAATCATACATCCATGAAAATCCATTTTTTCCTAAATACAGGAGAAATGGGTACTCCCAAAACTAAATGATTTCCACAATAGAAAAAACTTAACACTTTAACCTTTAACCTTAGCAGTTCTGATATGAAAAGTTTTCTTTTCAATTGCTCATTTTCCAATGAACAAAAACAGAATGGATGTTTAATTCAAGTTCAACTGTATTTTAATTATCAACTACTAAGACTTAAATGTTACCTAAATGTTTTATTATTCAGAAAACAAAAACAAAAAAATAGTTAATGTGTTATTCATATTAAATCATGTAATTATGTGAATGAAGCAGCAGATTAATTTTCTAAAATAAACACAGATAATAAACAATAATTTTGCTACTTTAATATGAATTAATCTCTAAGTTTACATTTACATACATACACATGTGAACTTCCAGAATGTATCTTAATTTTCTTGTAGCTGCTGGGATCAATATTGAATGAACATTGAACACATAACACTCTTTTTATGTATATTCTCTTTTTTCATTGAATATGAGTTGTCTCCCATTTGTGTAAGAGTTTTTGTGTTCAACCATACACTATCAACAAGGCCTAAGTTCTTAATCATTTTAGGACTAAACAATTTGTATCCATTCATGAAACATTACCAGAGTTCTTGAAAAATGGTGGTCCGAAGGTCCTGACCCCCAAATTTTGCAAAGGACTGACACAATTTGGTAATTTGCAATAGAAATAATAGTGAGGACAAGCAGATTATTTTTAAGGACCACCAGGAAAAAAAGATTTCAAGAACTCTGATCATTATTCTTATGATGTGGGGTTTATGTCAAAGAGACAGGAACCCAACAAAAATATCTGAATTGTCTTGAATGCCGAAAAGTTATGAATAAATCACAAAGAGATCATAAATCTGTCATAAGCACATTATTCTACAATTAGCACAAAACCTTAATATATGACAAAGACAAAAGAATACCACTTATAAGGTTCCTGACATAGGACAAGACAAAAACAATGTTGAAATAAAAGCGGACGACAATGGCCAAACACAAAAAAATAAAAACAAAACAAACAACAGTCAACTTCATACTAACCTTAACCTTAACCCTTTGGGTATCTCAACCAATTGGTTCTTATCAAAAGTATTTTCCTGACAATTTAGGCAATCAATGCAAACTTTGTTATTCACTTTTTTAAAGAATGCCTTTTGAATGCGAGTAGGATTTTAACAAATTTGGAAAGAAATCAAAACTGAATTCTGTAAATGGACAGAAAAAAATTCAGAGGAGACAGGTCTATCAAAATATATTCTGATTTTATTTGATCTCTAATGCTATTTAAAAAAGCACTTTGTTATCATCTGAAACCATAGCAAAGTTACAAGAAAATTGTATACATTTTGGATTTTCTAAAATAAAAATTTCCTCAATTTAAATATATCTTACCAAATTCAGTTTCTTTAGGTATATGTTTCTTTGCTGGTATATCTCTATACAATACTCCTTCCCCAATGTCTTTTCCAATCCAACCATTATACAGGAAATAATATTTCTGACGTGGATCGTCCCGCTGACTAATGATAACCTTGAAGAGAATATTCAACTAACAATTGCCTATCAATTATCGGTAATCATGACAGGAAACATTAAATATTCTGAACATTGAACGGGACATGATATTTCTGACATGATATTTCTGAATTCTGACATAATATTTTTGACATATTTCTGACATGATATTTCTGATATATTTCTGACATAATATTTCCGACATGATATTTCTGTCACTTAGACAAATAACAGTAGACAGGACAATATTTAACTTGGTGATGTGTTGAAAATTCTTAAAATTTCCAACCATTACATGAACAGGACATAATATTTCTGACATTGATTATTACTTGGACATATAACAGCAAATTAGAGGATATTTTAGTTGGTGATATTTATTTGTAGAAAAACTGTAATGGTGATATATATTTGTAGAATAACTTTAAAGATTACAATCTTCGAACAGGACATAACACTGATGTTGTATGTTAAGTCTTATTTCATTGGTCAGCCTCATTGCATGTATGAAACTGTTTTATGATTGATGTCAAAAGTATGTATTCTTAAACTGATAAAAAAATTCTGTAACTGTAACTGTAACTTTTCTATTTTTGTTGATCATTCATCAGAAAATGATTGTTTTTATATATTTTATAATCAAACCATATTTCCTTACTTCTATAAAGGTATTAAGCAACCGTCTAGACCTTACTTTATTGGATCCATAAAGATTCAAATGTAACTAACCTTGTCCAAGAACCATCCTGAAGCAAATCCCTTAGCATCATGTTCTATTCTGAAAGTTAAAAAGATATACATGTATTAAGTTTATAGAGAGAAAATAGACATAAACAGGTCTCTGAACACAATTGCTACAATGGGTTTTCAGCAATCAATTGTTTATCACTTTACAATAAATATACGTGTGTATAGCCCAGATTTGTGGCATGTAATAATAGTAACTTGGTGGTTGAAATTATCAAACCACTTACAAGGATCTCCATGACCAGTTTTATGATGAGGCACCGCCTTCATTAAATTATCCTCCGACTTATGAGAAAACTCATCCAGAAAAATTAAATATCTATTTATCCACATTCTATGGATTCAATTCATTATTTGTTGGATACCAATTTTCACGGATTTCTTGGGCACAGGGGAACCACAAATTTAAATCTTCAAGGAATTACAAATTGTAGATAGGAATGTATGCAGATATTAGCAAAACCACCAAATTAAATAATCCACAAAAATTGATACCCACAAAAATAAATTAATCCACAGTAGGATAATTGTTCTTTCAATTGTTTGACCCTTTAAAATGATAATCCTGGTTTCCAGCATGATTTTGTGGCTTGTGACAATGATTTGGATTTATATTAATTGATTATGAATAATTGTTAATGCAATTACCAGTATTCATCTGTTCGAAGACATTATATAGCCTGATTTAGTGGCATACAGCAATTTGCACAATGGATAATTATCTTTTTTGCATTTCATACATTCACTAGGTACATCATTTAAATCCATTGAATTTAGATTTTCCAATGTATAGGAATTTGAACCGTTCTGCATACAAAGGGAAGTAATCCTAACAGAACTAAATGATTACCTCCCCTATTGAATTTTCTCTCTCATGTGCATGCATTCTATAATGCTGTATTTTATTTATCGTTTTATTGTCTTATAAAAAATCATTGTATGAAATTTCAAAACCACAGGGGTCGATGAATGATGAATAAAGAATTTCTATTTCTATAAATATGATAAAGTCAACTCTAATTTCACTTCAGCCATTTTTAGATATCATGCAAATACATACAATTTTTAAAATATAGTCTGCTACAATTTTATAAACACAGTTGTCTAGTTTCAAGTAAATTGGTAATTATATAAAAAATTATTTATTCCAAGGTCAGCACCAGTTAGTTTTTGGTGAGATTTGTGTTGCTCAATGTTTGGTTTTCTATGTAGTGTTTTATGGACTGTTGTTTGTTTGTTTACTTTTTCTTTTGGGTTTTGAATTGTCTGTTTTTCTTTGACTTCAATTACTTTAGTAACCCTTTAGTATCTTCTCCCCTTTAAATGTGTTCTACAGGTAAGTTTACATTATTAAAATTGTACAGCATATTTCAGTTAACATGCTACATTTACATCATGCTAACTATTATGAATGCAGAAGTATTTAATTTACATATGTATGTATTAATATAAATTTAAGTCCAATAACATGCTCTATAATTTTTTTGTGCTTTTACAGCACTACCTTATGCTTGTCAGGCAATTGATGACAACATCTGGTATATTCCTTTGCCAGATATATTTAATAATTTGTTCATATTAGCCCACAGCTGTGTTTTTCAATGCACAGATCTAGAAATGATTGATATCCAAACAAATTACGATTTTAAGTAAATCTGTACTTGGAACTGACTTGAACTTGCAGTGCTGTTTTTGCTTCTTGTTGAGAGTCTGGCTATGACTATGTCAGATGAAGAACAACAAAGTTCCTTGGTTCTGCTTTTCTATGTACATGTGAATTTGTGTCATGGATTGATACACAATTTGCTTTTGTTTCTGTTTCTACTGTGGTTTCATTGAAGTCAAAATTTCTGGGATATTGCAAATGATTTATCTTGAACATTTTTTTCATTAAAATAGGAATAACTGTATAGTATTTAAAAAGTTGCAACCATCAAATGAGGAATATACAGTTGCAAATATATGCATCTGTTTTACTAGTTCTGCTTTGTGTAACCTGTCGAACTGTAATTTGCGACAGTCAAACCAAGACCTTACAGTTGCAAGTCTTCAAATACAGTACTGTTAAATCTATTCATGTTTAACCCTGCCACATTCTGTATGTGCCTATCCTGAGTCAGGAGCCTGTAATTCCGTGGTTGTTGTTTGTTGCTGTGTTACTTATTTGTTTTTCGTTCATTATTTTGTACATAAATTAGGCCGTTAGTTTTCTTGTTTTAAATTTTTTATTTCGGGGCCTTTTATAGCTGACTATGCGGTATGGGCTTTGCTCAATGTTGAAGGCCGTATGGTGACCTATTGTTGTTAATTTCTTTGTCATTTGGTCTCTTGTGAAGAGTTGTCTCATTGGCAATCATACCACATCTTCTTTTTTCTAATACAGAATTCTAGTACAGTTGCTCCAAGTGAAGACTTTTTCATTTCTTTGAATTTCAAAAATTTTTGATGTGAAAATTCTTTATGAAGCTCAATCTTTAAAAGCACTCTGAATGAAAAAAAATACATTGTGTGTTGTTAATTGGAAAAAAAATAAATCCAGAGTAACTATATTGAAATATGTCAAACAACTGAACCATGCAGCTTTAACCAACAGACATACCTTCATAGGTGAGTTTCTAAAACTAAAATAAAATAGTTTTTGTCAGCACCATTTTAAACACTTTCATGCAATAAAATAAATGAGTGATGGTTTGAAAGTAATATTGGAATATTTATAATCTAGGTTTATATTGAACAAGACTTGGGTCTTACTTTATTAGATGAATAAATATATGTCAGTAATTCTAAGCATTCTCAGAATGTATAATAGGTGCAGGTTGAAGAATTCTGTACTGCCTACTGTTGGAAATTTTAATATGGGGTTTATTTTTTTGCGATTAAGGAAAATCGCAAAAATATCCCTTCATGTAAATTGAAACTTTAAGAAATAATAAAATGCAAGAAATGTAAAAGTTGAAAACCTTTGGTTAAAATGTCCAAACGATATTACGAAATTTAAAGCCATTGTAAATAAGCCACTTTACAGTAGGACAATTTTAACAGTAGGCAATATCTAAATAAGTATTGTGAGAATTTTCCCCTAGTTGAAGTTTTTACAAATAATTTGATTTATTGACTGTTGGTGTTAAAAGGCACTTTCAGCACTTTTGGCTATGTATCAGCAGTCAGTTTTAAATCGTGGAGGAAGCCTGAATGCCCAGAGAACCATAGACCTCGATAACAAATAAATTGAGAGCTTTCCATTTGTCTCAAGGAACTTACTTTCAAGCTATAAAAGAAACATAAATAAAAAACAGCAAAATACAACAAATATCTATCTGTGACCATCACAACTGAAAATTTGATAATTATAAAAAAATAACACTTATGAAAAAAGGTAAAATTCTATTTCAGGATTTAAAGGATTCAGTAGTGAATGATCTATAAAACAGTATTCCCTTTACTCCATGGGAAATCCCCTGAAGTAAAGAACTGTATAAGAAAGTAAACATTCAATGAAAACAACTTACTCTGTAAATATTCTGAAATAATACACTTTATAATCAAGTTTCTACTATACACAATTGACAATGATTTAATTAATGTCTAACCTGAGATATATATCCATATAATACTGAAAAGACAATTCATGGTTATATGCAAGTAAACTCCCTTTCAAATATTTGTTGGAAAATTTGACATCCATTTTTATTAGTAAACAATTTGTACTTTTATTCAGTAAACCTCACAGTTTAAAGTTTGAAAATTTAACTACCTTAAGTGGAAAACTATCGTTGTCAACAAGGAAAAATAGTAGAACATGTTTCTCTAATGGAAAATATGGAGCAAAATGTTTTGTGTAAATATAGAATCTATATATAAACCAGATTTTGTGTTGACAAACTTTCACAACTAACAAATTGACAAGAAAAGCAATATGGCTTCATTTATAAATAATGGTTGGGAGAAATAATTTCATCTACATTCTGCACATGGATAGATTTCCATATACCGGTAATCAAATGTTGACAGATTAAGTTATTGATACAGGTTGCTATGGTATCCAATATTATTGAAAAATTCTTATTATATTTTTGATGTATTGTTGGAATGATATGTAATAATCAATTATGAAACTTTAACTTGTTATTTACTGTGGATTCATTTATTTTCATGGGCTCACATTTCTGCATGTGGATTGAAAAAAACTTGCATTTTTGTAGAATTGGTTTCCCTGAGCCTATAAAAAATTTGTAATACGTCGAACATTTAAATTTGTGGTTCAACTGTATCCACGAAATACTTGAAATATGGTATCCCACAAATAATAATGAATGCACAGCAATTAATGAATAACTATTATTTATTTTGAATTTATTGAACCATAAAATAAGTTTTTGACTCTTCACATTGAATAATCCGCGAAGCGGATTATGTAAAATGTGAAGAGTCAAAAATTAATTTTATGGTTCAATAAATTCAAAATAAATAATAGCCATTCATTATAAATAAATTTCTATCAAAAATAAGGCTCAAAGATCTTTTTATATTATTATTTATATTAACAATAACAACGTACATACATGTTGGCGTCAAGGCTTCCAAAACGGTCATATATTCCGGACATTTGTATAATGTCCGGTAAAAGTCCGGCTGGGCAAAGCATGAAACGGACATCTACTTTTTAGTTTTCAAGGCTTAAGAGACGGTAAATTTAACATAATTCGCGATCTTTTTGACCCAACCTTTTGCCTTTAACAGCCACACATTTCCGGTCATAAAAGTGACATGATCATTAAGTACTATCAAAACAACCCATACTTTAATACCTTCTCATTTTAATCAAGGCTAATTAGTTGTCGAACAGCTGAAATTTACCTGTTCAGGTGACAGGTAAACTATTTTGAACCGGACATTGATCGGTCTATTCAAAGTTATTTTCTTACATTTCAGCGGTTTGCATCTAATTAATTTAGTCAAAAAGATTTATATTATCAGAAATACGTTTACAAATATGATTTGATGGAAAAATTAAAAAGGTGAAAATGAAAAATCGTCATAACCACGTTGTTTGAACCAGAGACATGTCTCTGTTTGAACTAGTACACGTGTGCGCATGTGCGCAGGTGTGAAATTTAATTATGCATCCTAATTCCTTCAAAAAATGCTTAAATTGTCATTGATACCTTTATCTCACGTAAATTTCGAATATTTTCTTGAAGAAATAACGTAGAAAGAGCTACTTACACTCATTCATCCTTTGTAAACGTACACGGAATTTACGTATCCGTCTCTGGTCCATGTTTTACCATTGTCAAGATAACATCCGGTTTAGATTTGAAAACGAAAGAAAAGTTTTTGACAACGTTATTTTGCACAAATAAAGAGTCTAAGCAGATATAAGTACGCTGATGTTGCACACTTCGAATGATGCACTGCCAATTTAACAGTTTATGTCAGAACTTCGAATTTGAATCAAAGAAAGTTTAATATCGTTTTTTTTTTAATGTCAATCATTCGGATGGCCAACTCAGCAACTGATTACCATAATTGCCTTTTATTTATTTAGTCTTAAGGGATTAAAATCGGGATAAAATATAAAATTTCCGGCTGGCTAAAAATAATTTTGGAAGCCCTGGTTGGCGTATGAATACACGTCAGAGTGGGCGTGTCGCCATAAAAATTGACAACATTGAAAATAAAGGTAATACTTTTAACCAATCAGAAGACAGTAAAAACACCAAATTTATTTATGTCAAAATATAAGCAAGATTTTGTGTTGAACAATTTTCTAATCTATAAGAGAAGAAAATGACCGTTGATCACATAATATTAATAGGAAGGGCACAAGGCAATGACTAATCAATGTTATATTATTTACCTGATTCTTCTTAATTCTCCCAAGTTTTTACTGGACACATCAAAGCTGTCCATCTGTCCTTTCTCAAATTTTGATTTGTCATGGTCAACAAACTTAAGTTTATTAGTAGCACCTCTAGTTCCAAATACGGTCATACATATTGTGGCATTAGTTCCTGAGAAGGCCTTCTTCCCTGTGTATATCTGTACATTATAAACTGAAATATATAAGTAGTAAAGAATACTGTAAATTCAGAAATATTTGCGATGTTATTATTTTTGTGAATAATGTGATGGGATAGGTTTTGAAAAAATAAAGATAAAAATAAAAACAAAAACAAAAACAAAACCAAAACCAATTAACATTAATCTATGTATTCTGAACAATAGATTCAGTATTGAAGGGGATTATTTTAAATATTATTATTATTTTGGTGATTCATGTTGAATCGAGGCCTTTTTATATGCTTCTCAATTATATCTACAAGGCAACTTGACACAAAACAGGGGAAAAATGTATTGCCACCACATGTTCTAATTTTCTGCAATAAATTTTTTATTTGATGGTAATCAATCAACTACCTTTTTATATAACCATATACCATGTCCATATTGCATCAATATTAAAATGTTTAAAGATACCTTCCAATGCAGCTTTCCCTGTCTTTTTGCCAAATAAATCTCTCTTTATTCTGTAATCTTTTATATGCAGCGACAACCAGTTAAAACACTCAAACTCCCAAACCTGTTCTGATTTAACATCAGTTATAATGATCTTCTCTAGGTACCATTTGTGTGATTGTTGTAAACCATCATGCTGAAAAGCATTATCCCAAATTCATAAATGTTCAATTTCTAGTTGAACGCAGTTGAAAAATTAACACGAACTTAAAAAATAATAAGTAAAACATGTAAAAGACTGATTGGTTTGTCTTTTCTGAATCTGATCTGAGACTTCAGTCTTATTACTGCCTCTACTAAAACACCTGTGTCATAATAGAAGGTAAGGTTCACTATGTACAATATCACCCTGAATATGAATGAAATATTTGCCACTGGTTATTAAGGAAACAACAATATCAATCATTTATGTCTGAATATTTTCTATATGCAGTACTAACCTTAACATGAATGCCTGACAAAAAGTTTTAAGTTCATACAATATAATGAAAAATTCAAAATATCGACAAACAGGAAGTAGGTTTCTGACAGATCAAAATATTCCTCACATATTACAACTCATCAATATCAAGCTGCTGATCAAATATGAAGTCCTTCAGTTCTGACAGAAGTTTCTGAGAAACGTGTGACAAAATTACTTATTGGATGAACAGACAGACAAATCAATGGACACACAGGGTTACTGCAGTATAGCCCCCAAAGTTGGGATATAACGACAACATGATCCTCAACATAACCCTAGTTTCATTACCATATGCAGATGCCAAGTTCTAAACTGCCGACTCTTGCACTAAAAAGTAATACCTCAATTGTTGCTATTTCTAACTCTCCCAGAAATGGAGCCTTCAAATAAAAAGTTTCTTTAGTTTCTCTCATGAAGATAAAATTCATTGAGCCTCTTCCTTTCTTCAGTTGTGTCTTTGGAAGCTCATCTCTGCTGCCCTTGATGGTAAGATGTACCTGCCAAAAATATAAAACCAAAAATTACCAAATTGTTTTTGGCATTATTCTTATCTTGAAATCTTTAGACACCAACTTGGTTGCCTATTTATTATAACATACTTAACATCTGAAGCACTCTTAGTGTACATTGAAATACATTCTAATAACAAGAATGTGTCCATAGTACACGGATGCCCTACTCGCACTTTCATATTCTATGTTCAGTGGACCGTGAAATTGGGGTCAAAACTCTAATTTGGCATTAAAATTAGAGAGATCATATCATAGGAAACATTTGTACTAAGTTTCAAGTTGATTGGACTTCAACTTCATCAAAAGCTACCTTGACCAAAAACTTTAACCTGAAGCAGGACAGACGGACGAACGGATGGACAAATGGACACACAGATTGAAAAACATAATGCCCTTCTACTATCGTAGGTGGGGCATATAAATAGTTGTGAAAACAAACAAATATAGTTGTTTTGAGACTAACCGTATCTAGAACACTATTGATGATCAAAGCCCAAAACTATAAAAAATAAAAATAACATGATGCATCCAGTATATTGTAAAATAAATTGTAAAATTTTCATGAAAGTAAATACATCTATAAAATAAATAAATCGCTGAAATAGATTGATGTGAAGGTGACCAGAAAGGCCTAAACATCTATAAAATAAGAAAATCGCTGAAATAGATTGATGTGAAGGTGACCAGAAAGACCTAAACACAAAATAAAGTATCTGTAAAAATAAGTTGGTATACAGTACATTGTACTTGCCGGAGTAATAATTTCATGTAGTACTTCATAGGGAGACAATTGTACAATGTTGTGTCTATTTGATGAGCCATTATATGTCCAATTTTCGAATATGAATAAAACAGATGTGTCAATGAGCCAGCAACTCAACAACACAAATAAATCCCAGAAAGTCTTCTAGAGGTCAGCATGTAGTAAGCACTGATTTGAGGCTCAGTGATCAATTTCACAAAATCTTACGAGAAAAGAGCCCCTGGGGTAAAGATCTATTTTATAGAAGATTGTACAAATAAAGTCTGGTAATGAAATACATACATTGGCATTGATTCCTGACTCTCCAGTGTAAACATCCACTTTGTAAAGACGCTCGTACAATGTTGTGTCAATTTCCACTTCCTCTTTCTTCTTTAGTGTTGGCATAGGAGCAATATATTTTATCTTGGTTTTTCCTGTTGATGGTCTCTTTGGTATCTGTAATTTCAATACATTTTATGAAAAATATACATTTGCTTACACTACAAGGACCTGAGCAAATGATTGTCCCAAACCCCTAAATTTGGTAACATTGGTCCACCTTTTTTCCATGAACATAATGAATGAAAATTCTTAATGTGGAATAAGTTTTGCTAAGGATTTCCCCCTTGAAACTAAGCATTTTTCAATGCACAATATTATACATCAAAGTTATAGAACATGTTGTTTGAAATAATAAAAATCTGAAATATTGCATTGTTTATAGGAGAGCAATGTTTATTTAGGCAATATTTTGAGTCATCTTCCTTTGTCTATAATTGTAGATAGAAAAAAAATCAAAACTGTTAAAAGGCTGAAAAAGTACGAACTTGAATAGCATAGAACATAAAGATCTGTAATCCATACACTACTTTATGCATCCTATTATGGTGTAGAACCAGTATTTAAGACCCAGTCAGAAAGAAAATACTAGAGAGTACATGTAGTACAAACTTAAAACAAAATAGTTCCTACTCATAAGTGAAATTAATGTAGAAATATGTAGAATATATTGGTACCAAGTGAAAGCTGAAGGAATTGGAATTATTGTAAGATACTTTTAGACTGCTTATTTGAAAAATAAAAAGACTGAACAAAATTTAAATACATTTGTAGGAAGACATACATGTAGTTTACCCATTTCCCAGAACTAAACACTTGTTTTGGTCCTTCCAAATTTCCTAGAACATGTTTATTCTAAAATGCAATAAAGGTCTAGGCTTATTTTTTCATCCCAATAAGGTGTTGCTTTGACTTGAAAAGACTGTCACTTCATTTTAACAAAAAAGTCATGACTGCTTGAAATTGCAGAATGCAATGGGGCCATGAATTAGTCTGTTGTGACTTTTGAAAGTCATCATTGACCTTACAAAAAGCCAATGGAAAAGTCACAATTTTGTAACACATTACAGGATAGGCCAACCAAATCAAAGCATTTTTCATATATCACTTATTCAAGTCACACTCCATTCAGTGTATTACCAAAAATATCTCTTAATGTGGGAAAAAGACAATAGAGGCCATTGCCATACATGTAAGATAAAAAAAAGTATCAAATGTGAGTAGAAATAACAAGCATTTGTAATATTTTGTTAGAATTGTATTAGAGATGCGTGTTTTAACCTTCAGTTATTGATAAATAGAGAATATCATATGGTTTTTACAATATCACATCCATATCAACCAATGACACCAATATAATCCCAAGAGCTCTGTTCAAGAATTATATTGATTGATGGTTGATAGGGTGTGAAATATATTGAAAAAGCCATATCATATTCATGTACATGATGTACACTTTACTATATACATTTGTTCCTCAAGTAACGTAGATGTTTTTCATGTGACATGATGTAATACAGATTAGAGGTTTGATAAAACCTTTGCAACTGTGACTGATACTGAGACAGCACGATTGCCATTGATTGTATTACATATTCAATTTACTTGTACTTACTACTAAGGATATAATTATTTTAGTGCATTACATTCAAGACAATGGTTTAAGTCAGAGTGGGATACAAAATATCAAGTTACCTTGTGTAGATGCATGTGTCTTTGGTGTTCTTCCATAGTTGTACAAAGATAACAAAATTTATTTGGAGGTAGTGCTGCAAATATAAGAAATAAACAATCTAAAAATCTCAGCTATTTTAAATCACAACTTTATTTAATGTATCATTTCCATATACTTACCTATAGATTTCTTTGATTTTTTTGTTTCTCTAGGCTGCTGTCACATTGAGGTAAACCTAACATCTTCTTTTATTCTTAATCTTAAGATATCAGAATCATACTAAAGTGTAGCATTTAATAAATGGCAATTATGATTTTATAATGCTTTCGATCTATATGTAGCAACATTCCAGTGCCAGTTGATATACATATAGATTTTACCACTGCATAGAGTTTGATACAATATTTATCACTCGAGACCGTTAAATTTTCAAATTTAAAACACGAGTTTATTTTCGACTTATATGTTTGAATGTCCCTCTGGTATCTTTGCCTCTCTTTTATATAGAAAGTAAAGCATCTTTTATTGTGTAAAGAGGAAAACTCCTGCATGTGGTTTGCAATTGACATGATTAAGATCCCTGCATTTTTTCAGCAGCATTGATGGTCATTGTGGCCACTTGAAATTGTTCAAGTATCTCTGTATTTGTATGTCCCTAACCCTACTTACAGAAATACAATGTCATCTATATCATTAATCACATTTCTTAGTTGCTAACGGTATATGGAAATTATTCTCATATCAAGATATATGCATCTCTTTGCTTCCCATACTCACTGGTGTTGATTTAATGTTCAACGAACATGACAAAACACACTAATGACATGAAATGACATTGTCTAAAACTATATATACATTTAAATTGTAGTTTGACCGAATGATAGCGATTGGATTCAAGCATATTGAACCACAATATATCATATATGGCTATATTCCCCATTTCCATTCTCAATTTTATATTAATTTGTACTTACGAGTTTCTGAATATGAAGACAATGATTCATTATCATTCATTGGTGTGGCAATGTTTTTAATTGTTTCTGTGTCTGTAAACATAACATTGGCATCTTTCCATCTTCCTTTAAAATCAACACTTCCTGTTAAAAAAAAATTAAGATATTTATAGAAATGTGAGTATATCAGGTTGCTCTGTCTTTATCTACATTCTATTGTATTCTATTCTGGTTTGGATCTAAATAATAGAGAATAATGGACAAAAAAAATTAGGAAAGGAGAATAGTGGGGTGGAATAAAAGAATAGAGAAAAATGGACTATAAGAAATAATAATCATAATTTGGACAAAAGGAAAACTTATTGGCATCATAAATCTAAAAATACAAAATTGAAGACTCTTTTACTGGTTAAGAAATATACTTACTGGTATACAGAAAATAAAAAAACAACTGACATAAGTACAAAAACTTAATGTTGATCCATCAACATAAAAATATTTAATTTGCCTCATACCGGTACATCTATAGCAATGATTACATTGCCTACTTTTGACTCTTTAGTTGAGAAATTGCCCTGGATATATACACTAAGTGCTGTTCAATGGACCACCAAATCAGATGCAAAACAGAAATAAAATTTAATAAGATGAGGAACAACAAATTCAAAAGCATATTCACATCTACTGGGTTCACTGGAACTTAATAGTCTGTGTTCCAAACCATGTATATTTTAAATGTACCTGAAATGATTTTCAATCAGTCATTTAACAGTACCTGATGTATTTCAAGACAAATATCTTTTTATCCTACATTTTATTTTATAAAAGAATAGTGTTATGATTAAAGAAGACAGATAGCACAAAATTATTGCCATTTTAATCATTTATGTAGTGTTAAGGTGCATCATTGGTACATATTTCCTCAGATAGAATTTTCTTTATATACTGTGCCAAAATATAGTTTTCTCCATTCTTTTTTCAAAAACATGATAAAAAGTATAGATCACTATGCTATTTTTTAAGCTACAAGTCGTGCAAAATTGCCAAAATTTGCACAGATTGTTCATGAAAAAAAGCTCTTTTGTGAATAAAAGAAATCTATGAGATAGAATTTTGAAAAAAATATGAGAAGATAGGTTTTAAAATCTGCTTTAAGCAAATAAAAAGAACAAGAGGCTCTCAAGAGCCTGAATCGCTCACCTGTATTTCAGAGGAGAAGATTTTTAAATGTTAGCAAACTTGATGAACAAATTGTGTAAAATTGTCTTTAAAGGGCAATAACTCCTTAAGGGGTTAACTGACAATTTTGGTCATATTAACTTTTTTGTAGATCTTACTTTGCTGAACATTATTGCTGCTTAAAGTTTATATATATCTATAATAATATTCAAAATAATAACAAAAAAACTGCAATTTTGTTAAAACTACCAATTCGGTGGCAGCAATCCAACAATGGGTTGTTTGATTCGTCTGATAATTTCAGGGCCAATAGATCTTGACCAATTAAACAATTTTACCCCGTGTCACATTTGCTCTAAAAGATTTAGTTTTTGAGATATAAGCCAAAAACTGCATTTGACCCTTATGTTCTATTTTTAGCCATGGTGGCCATGTTTGTTGATGGATACAAACTTCGGATACAATTTATAAACAAGATACCCTAAGGAACATTTATTTAAAGTTTGAAGGTAATTGGCCCAGTAGTTTCAGAGGAGAAGATTTTTAATGTTAGCAAACTTGATGAACAAATTGTGTAAAATTGTGCTCTAAAAGATTTTGTTTTTGAGATATAAGCCAAAAACTGCATTTGACCCTTATGTTCTATTTTTAGCCATGGCGGCCATGTTTGTCGATGGATACAAACTTCAGAAACAATTTATAAACAAGATACCCTAAGGAACATTTATTTAAAGTTTGAAGGTAATTGGCCCAGTAGTTTCAGAGGAGAAGATTTTTAAATGTTAGCAAACTTGAACAAATTGTGTAAAATTGTCTTTAAAGGGCAATAACTCCTTAAGGGGTCAATTGACAATTATGGTCATATTAACTTTTTTGTAGATTTTACTTTGCTGAACATTATTGCTGCTTACAGTTTATATATATCTATAATAATATTCAAAATAATAACAAAAAACTGCAAAATTTTGTTAAAACTACCAATTCGGTGGCAGCAACCCAATAATGGGTTGTTCGATTCGTCTGAAAATTTCAGAGCTGATAGATCATGACCAACTGAACAATTTTACCCCATGTCAGATTTGCTCTTAAAGCTTTAGTTTTTGAGATATAAGCCAAAAACTGCATTTGTCCCCTATGTTCTATTTTTAGCCATGGCGGCCATATTTGTCGATGGATCAAAACTTCGGATACAATTTATAAACTAGATACCCTAAGGAACATTTCTTGAAAGTTTGAAGGTATTTGGCCCAGTAGTTTCAGAGGAGAAGATTTTTTGAATAGTTTACGACGACAGACGACGACGGACACCAAGTGATGGCATAAGCTCACATAGGGCCCTTCGGGCCGCGGTGAGCTAAAAAATGGTGTCACCAAACTTGTTCTTGCTACATGTAAAAATCAAAAATTTCTCTATCATTCCTTTATAAACAAATTTACAAGTTACAATGTATCTGGGCAAAGTCAAAATAAATGGGCCAAATTTATTTTTTTTTACCAAATTTCAACATTGTTTTAGTGCATTTTCTTTTGTTGTATCTTGATACATATACATTTAAGTTAATAAATCCAAAAGGATATAAAAAAGTATATAGAAATAAAAAAGTTCTGAAACTTAAATGACATAAACCAATAAAACAAATTTAAATCAAGTATACCTTTTTGGAATATTATTTCAGACAAACGCTATCAAATATTTATATTTTTTACACCCCTATTGATTGCACAGATCCAAACATTACTTTTGATGCAAAGATTATTAATCTCCTCTTTGATTATCATTTTTTTTTATGTTTTTGGCTATTTTTTGTATCAATTCATTTAAAGTTGATTGAAAAAGTTTTGATTAAAAAATAATTCATCAATTAGTTGATAAAAAAACTTCTCCATATTAAAATTAACCCTTTTTCAAATTCACTGAGGAAAAAAAATTGATGGATAAATCTTTTAATAAAGAAGATATATTAAAAAGAAAAAACATCCAATTTCCCCTGCTTTTGTTGCACTCCTGACATATTATACACCAAAAAAAAAATGCAGAAACTAGAACAAAATACTCATGATTTTTTAAAATTTGTAATCATTGCTGGTTTATAAAGACCTAAATCTGTCATTTAAATGTTATTTCTATTCTAACTTATGCATCTTATGCACTTCAGATCATATTTGAATTGATTTTTCGGACACACTATTATAAAAATGAGGTTAAGTTACCAAACTATGAACTAAATTCTATTAAATATTCAGTAGAATTGTTGTTTAACAACTTAAAAAGAGATCTGCATTTTTCAAAGTTTTTCTGAACTATTATTATTTTTTAAAATTATTACCTATATAAGGAACTTTATTCCTCCTATTTTGTTGCACTCCTGACATTCAATATATATCATATCAAAATAGTTATACATCATCAAAAAAGCCCATGACTTCTAGATTAAGTGTATATACCTTTCAGATTTAACATTTTAATTTCATTTAAACAATATTTTTGAACTACAATGTATATTGTACATATCACTTATTGTATACATAAGTTCACGTCTCATCACATTTCGCTACTATTTTTTTTTAAATGGCAGTCTTTGCAATGTTAAAATAGGCTGAATTTTGTGGCTTGATGTGTAGAATAATCCTGCAAAATATCTTTGGAAAATCTCAAGTATTAAAAAAATGACGATAAAAAAAGATGCAAAAATTGTCAGGAGTGCAACACTTTTTTGTGTCTTTTGAAAAAATTCTTTTTTTATAAAGACACAGCAACTTGTAATATGATGATAGGTGCCATAGATTCTTATTTATATTACAACTATTATGTCTTAGTGATGATTTTAGCTACAAATGAAGTTTGTCCATTAAACCGTTTTGATACAGATGTGTTTTGAAAAAAAGTATTGCCCTGTCAGGAGTGCAACACAATAATTAGTACAGCTGTGGAATAGAATGATTTTTGAATATATGAATCACACCTAAACATAAACAAAAGTCAACCCTGTAAAAAAAATATGTCCTTTCCAGAATAAATACTTTATTAACCTGATTATTGATATAAATGTGTGATAGTCAAGTAAATAAGGCCTCCCTATAAGTGTCAGGAGTGCAACTTTGAAGTTAAAAAACTCACACTTAATAAATACAAAAGCCAATATTTTGTTCTGTTTTATTTTTCAAAAGATACTATACTAGATACAAGATTGCACCCAAAGAAAAGCCTGATAGACAAGAAATTTTTAGAACCATTTCTTTGATGTCAGGAGTACAACAGTTTTAAAATGTTAATTTCTTGGACTTACATTTTAAGATAATCTCAGCTCCTTATGACTTATTTGCCATTCAAATATGTGTTCTTACTATTTAGGCTACATGTATGATATATTCTTAGAGGTGAATTTCAAAGCAGGACTTCGATCCAAAAATTATTGTTTGTCACAAGCAATTATATCTGAATGATGATTTTTTATATATATAATTTTAGAATTTAGGAAGCTAATTGTCATAAACTGTGTCGTTTTTTTAGGAAATAACCATATTTCAATTTAAAAGTTTTATAATGGTTTCATGTAATACTAATTAAATTATTATAACTGTAATAACAAACAATTAATTTTGTTGAACTCCTAACATGAATTTACCATAACAAGCAGTTTTGCACATATTCAATGTTTTAATTTCATTAAGGTCTCACACATTTGGAGTTCATCTTGCAGATCCAACCTTTGAATGAATGAAAGATGGGAAAGATAGTTGATCAAACTGAACTTACTTGAGAAGAAAATCAGACAAACTAAAGGATCAAAACACACCATCAAAGACAACATCGACTATAACTTTGATGAGCAGAAAATTGAGAAAAAATCTGAAAGAAGATCCAGCTAAAGGACACACTAGACAAATATAAGCAAAGAAAGAACAAAGAAAACAAACCAATGTAAAACTTAATTACAAAGACTTAACTTGAATACAAAAACACAGATGGAGAAAATGAAAAAAAAACAAAACAAAGAGATTGGCAACAGTAAAGAAGAAGAAAATTGACACAAGCCAAAAAAGTTGCAAACCCACAGAAAAATGTCCAGTCGAGAAGCAAAAGTACAGGTGCAGATACACTATCTAGAGAAATCAGAAAGAGAAGACACAGTATAGGGAAAATTCTTCCTGACCAACCCAAACCTTGCCCTAAAACAATTGAATACATCATATCCACAGCTACACCAAGGCAGTTGTAAGAACTAATTAGTACTGATGGAAGTGTGCTAGAAATTGATGGGTGCCAAAGTGGAAACAAAATTGAGAGACCCTTAATAGATCTGGAAACTGTTGAAAAGAAACTGGCATTTTCAAAAAGAATAGAGGCTACCTGAAAAAGTTAGAACTAAGGGACTTTTTGAAAATGCCATTTTCTTTTCAACAGTTTTCAGATCTTTTAGGGGTTCCTCAACTTTGTTTATACTTCAACATGTTCAAGACTCATCAATTTCTTGCACACAGCTGATATCAGTTCTCATTTACTCTGACAACCACCTTGGTGTAGCTGTGGATATGATGTGCTCAATTGTTTAAGCCCAAGATTTGGGATGGTCAGGAAGATAATGTCTTATTCTTTGACTTCTCTTTCTGATTTCTCTAGGTATTGTATATGCATCTGTACTTTTGCTACTTGACTGGACAATTTTCTGCTGGTTTGCAACTTTTTTTAGCTTGTGTCAATGTTCTTCTTCTCTTCTGTTGCCACTTTCTCTGTTTTGTTTTCATTTTCTCATATGTGTTTTAATTCTGGTCTAAGTCTTTTGAATTTAGTTTTACATTGTTTTGTTTCTTTGTTCTTTCTTTGTTTATATTTGTCTAGTTTGTCCTTCAGATTTGGATCTTATTTCAGTGTTTTTCTCAATTTTCTACTCCTCAAAGTTGAAGTTGTTGTTGACTATGATGGTGTGTTTGTATGCACTTAGCCCGTCTGATTTTAATTATTCTAAAGTTTAGTTTCACAACCATCTTCCCCATCTTTCATTTATTCAAAGGTTGGGTCTTAAAGTTGAACTCAAAATGTGCAAAACGGCTTGTTATGGATAATTCATGTCAGGAGTGCAACAAAATTAATTGTTTGTTATAACAATTATAATAATTTAATTAGTATTACATGAAACCATTATAAAACTTTTAAATTGAAATATGGTTATTTCCTAATCAAAAGACAAAGTTTAAGACAATTAGCTTTCATAATTTGAAAATAATATGAAAATTTAACATTCAAATACTTTTGCTTGTGACAAACAATAATTCTTGGATCAAAGTCCTGCTTTGAAATTTACCTTAACTCATATATGTAACCTAAATAGTTAGAAAACATGTTAAGATGCTAATAAATCAGTAGGAGCTGAGATTATCTTAAAATGTAAGTCCAAGAAAATGTCATTTTAAAACTGTTGCACTCCTGACATCAAAAAAATGGTTCTAAAAGAAAAATTCCTTGTCTATCAGGCTACCCTTTGGGTGCAATCTTGTATCTAGTATAGTATCTTTTGAAAAATAAAACAGAACCATATAATGGCTTTTGTATTTTTTCAGTGTGAGTCTTTAAACTTCAAAGTTGCACTCCTGACACTTACAGGGAGGCCTTATATACTTGACTCTCACACATTATTTATATCAATAATCAGGAAAATGAACTATTTATTCTGGAAAGGACATATTTGTTTTACAGGATTGACTTTTGTTTATGTTTAGGTGTGAGTCATTTAAGCAAAAATCATTCTATTCTTCAGTAATACTAATTTTTGTGTTGCACTCCTGACATGGCACAATTTTTTTTCAAAACACATCTGTATCAAAACGGTTCAATGGAAAAGCTTCATTCTGAGCTGAAATCAGCACTAAGATATAATAGTTGTAATATAAATAAGAATTTAAGGCACATTCCTCCTTACAACAATTTGCTGTGTCTTAATAAAAAAGTATTTTTTCAAAATGTCACAAAAAAGTGTTGCACTCCTGACAATTTTGGCATCTTTTTTTAACGTCATTTTTTTAATACTTGAGATTTTCCAAAGATATTTTGCATGAATATTCTACACATCAAGCCACATCATTTGAAATTAATTTATTCAATCAAATGATCAGCATGATTGATAAATATTGCTTTATATGCAAGGAACCATTTATTTTGACTTTGCCCATCTCCACTTAAATAGCCAAGTTGGCAATTTGATTCAAACAAACACAAACACCTGGTATTTGTTAAATCAGTCTGAAAAATGCAATAAAACACTTATTTTTTCTTTATTCCAAAAAAGTAGTCACATGCATAATAGCCAATCTGACTCAAAATTTGCAGATTTTAACAAAGAACTAGACCGACTGTGAACTGCTATTTAACAATCCAAGATGTCAGTATACAGTTAATCTACCTTAAAGCTTAAAACAATTGAATTTCTACATATCCCCATTGTATTTCAACATATGATTCAGGAGGATTTCGAGGTATAGCTTGAAATAAACATCCACACACACACAATAAGTTCTCAACTACTGCTTAAGGAAGTAATGAGAGATAATTATACATCTGCTTAATTTCTTAATTCAGACATATCTATTTATAAACTTATCACATAAATGTATGAGAAAAACATATTCTAAATGAAAAGAAAAAGAATATGTAACTGGACAGAGTCAAAAATCATGAAAATGTTTGCATTAAGAAGTACTTTCAATTTATATAGCAAAAATTCTAAGTTCCCTTGACAAATCTACAAATGGTATAAAACTATAATACTTATATTATTCAAAACAATGGAACAATAGAAAATGTGCCACCTTTTACAATACCAATCATATGCCATAAACTTAAAAATTATAGCAATACCAGGGATCTCCATGACCTGTTTTATGATGGCGCACCGCCATCGTTAAGATATCTTTCACCACCGTCAAATGATCCATGCCATCGTTAAATTATCTTCCGCCATCGTCAAATGATCCCTGCCATTGTCAAAATTTGTTTTCGTTTCTCTAGCCGCCGCCATTTTTGTTAGCAATTACAATCAATTGCATGTAATTGCACAACCCTGAGGCTTTTTGTATTATAATCCAAAGGGTCCTCCTGATTACTATAAAGCCCTGAGGGATATATGGCTAAAGATCGCTAATCACTCGTACAGGTAGATTGACACACCTGACAGGAGAACACTTGATCAAGATAGAAGATTGATTGCACAGTATTTAATTACGTTTCAGCAAATGCTAATGAAAATTTAGATTAAAAAATAAATTTTAAATCCAGTTAAAAAGAAAAAAGTTTAACATTACAAGTTGAACACGTGCTTTTATATTGACTTACGCAATCAGCACCCCCCTTTTTAAACCAGTACAAAATAAGACTTAAAACAGAACATAATTTCATGCCAAATAAATAAGCAATTATCGATAATATTGAATCACTTTACAAGTTTAAAAGTAAATACATGAATATTAACTGCAACTTGATAATCTGAAGAAATTTTGTATCGTAATTCCGAATTCATTTCGTAGTTTACAATCAAATTGATACATCCGGTTTTCTGGTTTACTTTCAGAATCGAAAGATGCGTGTTGCATAGTACATTTTGTATATTACTATGAAATTTGCTATTTAAAGTCATTAAAACCTTTTAAGTTGTAAACGTTTGCCCTCCAAATCTTTCATCAGCGTTTTACAAAAAGGTACGAAACTTCTTGTTGTTGATGCTGCAAATCGTCGATACCGGTTCATGACTTCTGAATTTGACAGTAACAAAAAAAGATCCCCCCCGATTTTTAAGCCCTTAACAATTACCACAAGAGCAAGAAAACGACTTGGGAACCTTAAGGACAGCTTGTGGTTATTCTTGACTAAGGGGAGCCATGCAGGCTTTGCATTGGAATTGTTACAAACAAGGATTTGTCTTGCTATACAAATCCTTGTTACAAATGACAATTAATGAAAATATTGGTTATTCTATAATGAAATAAATATAATAAGCAATATATCAGCCAGTTCACCATTCCTTACATGGAAATGAAGGAATGAAATACTTTCGATCACACCATGCCGTAGTCACTGGGGTTTTGTCACGGTGAAAGTTCCTCCATCATTAAATTTTCATCCATGGAGATCCCTGAATACATGTATCATGGCAGGTTTGAAATGGAATTATTTGACAAAATGCATTTATTACTACCTGCAAAGGTAAAGTATTTTCCAAATCTTACCCGACTCTGAAAGGCGTATTTATGTTTCCTTTTCAATCCTTATCTGACAGCTTCAAGTGTACAGCATGGTGTTATTATGGCCTATAAATTATATAATTGGTCATTTATTTTGGTAAAAAAATCTGAATATAATATTTTTTTAAGGTATTGATAAAGGATAACATGGGTGGTCAAAATAGAAAACTTATAGCCCCCAAATCAGAATCAAAATACACAGTCACAAAAAGACAACCTTCATTAAAACTCATTGATGACTTTGGTCTTGTTTCTGTGTGCCAGTGCTTCATGCCATACTCAAAACATGGATCTGTTTTCGACATTGTTGTTTGCAATCTTTCAATATTATCTGAAGTCTGATGACAAAGAGTTTGCAAACCAGTTCCATAAAGCTGTGTATTTACAGGTCCAACCCAAGTATTTACAACATTCTCATTGTCCTCATAAAATCTAACTGGTGACCCTCTAAGTCTGTTCCGTCTGTGAAGTCTAAGTTGCTCTCGAACATCCATGATATTTGGCTTTAATATAATATCTAAGTACAAATATTTGTAGTGTCCACCATGTTGTTTATATCATGTTACCACAGGAACTTTTGCCGAAAAACGTCGATCACCTGCCTGTATTGTCGTAAAAATTCAAGAATCACGAAATTTAACAAACTATTTTAAATTAAAAAAAAACACTAGCAATAAACATTTATTACCTGATCAAATGGATGGTATCTTATGAGACAAGTCAAATTAGTACCTTCACAAATGGCAAACGAATTTCGAATTAGGACAACTCGGTCCAATAAAATCTCGGACCAATTTAAAGAGAACGCTTCTTCTTCTGTTAATCAAAAAAGGATAACTTATCACATTGATGTTGTGTCATATGAGTGCTGGAATGCTTTGTATTGTGTATCTACAATAAAAATATTTGAATAGTGCTTTGTGCAGGTTAAAAACATGATGAATGGATTATAGATATGTTGTAACATTTTACGGTATGTCTCTATCCTCTATAGTTGTTCCTGTTCTGGTCCACTTTTAAAGACAACTCTGACCAGTTTGAACAGGGACTTTCTATACTAGCTAAGAAAGTCCCTGGTTTGAAAGACAATATGTAAAAAAGCATGATTGACAATATATTTATATAAATAATTCACTTATATGAATTGTTCATTTGATCATTAAAGTCTATTTTGCTTGATCATATATTCTTGTTTTATAACCAATAATACTATTTGAGATTACTATAACCAGAGACATATGGCTCTACTATAACGTAACCGGTCACAGGCAGGGAAAGAAGCTAGCAGTTTTAATATACCGAATTAGTAATAACTTTATGTTGTAACATGAATGGTATTTTTTACTTTGATCTTCTAGTGAGTTAACTTCAATTATTTTTAGAGGAGTGCGTCAACACCAGTGGCGGATCCAGAGGGGGGTTCCAACCCCCGGAACCCCCCTTTTTTTGGACGATCAATGCATTTGAATGGGGACATATAGTTGGAACCCCCCCCCTTTATCCATAGCCAGAAATTAGTAGTACTTTTGCTAATTAATATTCATAATATGTAAATGAGAATTGTACCACGTGATAATAGTTTGAACTGGACTGGCTTGATATCATTAAAATCTTTAAAACACGGATATTATAAGTTGCCCGTCACAGAGTCCTTGTTTATAATCACTCTGATATTTCCGTAAAGTTGTCAAGCGGTCAAAATCAAAACAATGAACGCGAATTTAGTGAATTTTTCGTGTTTTCGTGGGTTTATTCTTCTTGAAATAGGGGCATTTTAACTTTACGTAGGAACCTAGAGTTCAACGACTACACATACAAGGTTTGGACTTGCTTATTCTTTGGACATTCAAGTTTCAAGTTTCATCCCCGCAAGGCGCAACCTGTTTTTGTAATGACCTTGTTAGCCAATTTTCAACACGAAGTTTGCAAATTTGACGCTTCAGCCATTTTAGCCTGCATTTTATACTGCAATGTTAAAAGCCTCTCGCTTCGATTTTTAAAATAGCTCAGGAACCTTGATTTTTGCAACGACAGTCATTATGTTTCGTTTAAATGGTGTATATTGTTGTGTATATTTATTTTCTGTCCCCGCAACCTGTCTATCACTTAAATTAAAGTTAAAAACAGACATTTTTTTTCAAAATTCCCTATCATTTCAATATAATTTCCGTGACCCGTATCCGATTTCTTTAGTATAATATTAAAATAAGCAAAGTGGCGTTGATTTCTGGATATGCCTTCGTTGGGAACCCCCCCCATTTAAAAATGGCTGGATCCGCCCCTGAACACAGTGTGGGAACGGAACTGTACGGTTTTAAAGTTTTTTGGTCATTCAGGAGACTGTCAAGCGGGGCTCCGACATTCGAAAAAATAACAAGTTGCTGGATGGAAAGTTTGATGAACTCAAATATGTTACAATATAAAGTTTCTGTTTCAAAATTTGGTAACGAAAGCATTCTGCATGTTGATATGAACCAATCAAATAATTAAAACGATATTTGCGGCCAAACTTTTTCCTTAAAACGTAGGAGCTCCGAGTAAATCGAAACAAAAGCGACAAAATATACCAAACAACATTGAAAAACCAATCGTAGTTACCAGATTTTTCACATGCTCCTTTTCTGATATATAGGCTTATCTGTCTGAAAGTTTAAAGGCCATTGTCCCAGTAGAAATTCAGATATATGCATTATCTCAATGTCAGATATTTCATTGACTGTACACGTACAATCGCTTGCACTTTTATTGTACAATCACTTGGCCCTTTCCTATACAATTGCTTGCTTAAATTCAAAACTTTGGTATAAAACAAAAATTGAAAGGATATAGAACTAGTCGGATTGATTTGTTTGACTCGTAATCCAATGAATCAAATATTTTTCATAAAATCTGGCTTATCACGGATATTTTCGATTATAGCTTAATTTGATGATAAAAATTTCATTAGGATTATTTTAAATCATCTATCTTTCGCGATATACTGAGCTTTTGGTTTAAACATATTTACTTGAAAGACATGGCATATATGAAATATAAATGTAGTAATACACGAACGGATTCGGAAATAAAACTGTTCTTATCCATCTAAGTGTCAAAAGAAAAAAAGGAAATAACTGCTATTTAAATAGTTAACAAAATGTCATCATATCTTTTCGTTTCTAGTGGCGGCGGACGTGTGTTTCAAGGCTGTACCTCTCCATTCCGAGATAAAGAGGAAATCAAGATAGACCAAAAAGTGATTTGATATTTTAATGGAACAGAAGAGTTTCTAGTGTTTAAGTTTTCGGTCATGCGAATAATTATGGCACTCAAGCAGGAAATGCTTACTACTACGGTATATATATATATATATATATATATATATATCTATTCTGTCACATTTATGAACAATTTATACTTTCCGTGAGATTTTCATCATTAAAACTACTGCAATTCAACATAATATAAAAAAGTAAGAAGATGTTGAATGATTGCCAATAAGGCAACTCTCCACCAGAGACCAAATGATGTATAATAAGTTAACAACTACATGTCATACACGGCATTCAACAATGAGCAAAACTTCCACCACACAGCAAGCTATAAAAGGCCCCGACATGAAAAATATGAAAATTTCAATAGAGAAAACTAACGGTCTTATTTATAAATTTATACAGACCATCTTGATTTCTTATTGTTCGATTTTTGATTTTGTCTCTGATATAGATACTTTTAGCGTGCTTTAAAAGATTCCCTTGATAGAATCTTAATCGGCAAAATGACTGAATTTATGTTCACTTTTATTTCAAATATCATTGATCAATATATTAGGATCGACCATGCAGGAACAGACAAATCCTGAACTTAAGGGTCTGTTTTTAAGTGTTTATTTCTATATATAATATAGATCATCTACTGGGCAAAAGGGTGGTGGTGCTATCCCTAAAATGTTAAAAGGTTTTAATTTATGAAGTATTTTTCCTTATTTTTCGTTTCAATAATAATAATCTGGTGCCGTTATCAAATTTGGAACAAAGCCCAATTACACATTCGAAAATGTTACTGATGTTTTAAGGGTTTATTTTGATGGATGAAGTCTGATATCATCCGGGATAGTGTTCTATGATGAATTATGATGAGCTGAAGATAAAAAAAAGTTTTGATAAAGTGTTGTCATACAGTTCATATACTGCCTGTCGTATGTTCGTCTAATTCATTGTAAGAATTTTGAAAAGCTGCTGGAGCATGATACAATTTAATTGTTCAAGAGTTGTATTATAAAAAATATTCTGCGTCTTTCAGATAACAAATCAAACTTCGTTTCGTCCTAAAATTGAGAGTTGTGTACTGTACCACCTGTAGGTAAAGCTTTAAATAAACACACATATATATATCGCCAATGGCAGTCAGCAGGGTTTAATAACATCAGTTGTTCGACCTTCTAGTCAAATGCGTTTTGTTATAATATATTTTTTCACTCTTAGGTCTTTTTGGAAAATGTTGTTTGTGCTGTATTTAGACCCCTCTACAAGGAAATTTGTACATGCACACGTATAAAAATTGCGGTTTTTATCCAACGCGCGCAATCATAGTTATGATCGTTGTTTTCAATTTAGACTTGTTTATATTTATTTCGTTTGGGCTTGTATTATATTTTACCTCAGGTTTATATAATCCGTTCATCCTATTTTGACTCTTTAAAATTCAAGAGTCTATCCTAAATTGAGGTAAATTAAATGGCCTTCCAAATACTTTTCGATCCCTAACATCACTGAAGAGACATTCCGGCATTGTCGAAATCCGGATATGGTGTAAAAAAAATTAGCACCTTTGGTTGTGGTATACTATCTTTGCCGCAAATTTATTTTTTTTTACTTCGTATTAAATTAATATAGAGATCCATTTTGTTACACCTTGGCAATCGCCAATGACAGTCAGCAGGGTTTAAGAACATCAGTTGTTCGACCTGCTAGTCAAATTTGAACGTTGTTTTCAATTTAGACTTGTATATATATATAATTGTCGAAATCCGGATATGGTGTACTAATTTTTGCACCTTTTGTGTGCGGTATACCATCTTTTCCGCAAGTTTATTGTTTTCTGTTTGATATTAGATCATTAATTTTTAAAGATCCATTTTGTTACATCTTGTGATCCGTTTATTTGGCAATCGCCAATGGCAGTCAGCAGGGTTTAAGAACATCAGTTGTTCGACCTGTTAGTCAAATGCGTTTTGTTAAAATATACTTTTTCACTTTTTGGTCTTTTGGAAAATGTTGTTTGTGCTGTATTTAGACCCCTCTAACAAGAAATTTGTTTTGCATGCACACGTATAAAAATTGCGGTTTTTATCCAACGCAATCATAGGTTTGAACGTCGTTTTCAATTTAGACTTGTGTTGTTGTCTCTTTGACACATTCCCCATTTCCATTCTCAATTTTATATATTTATATACAAGTCTAAATTGAAAACAGCGTTCTAAATTGAAAACAACGTTCAAACCTATGATTGCGTTGGATAAAAACCGTAATTTTTATACGTGTGCATGCAAAACAAACCGTTCTTGTTAGAGGGGTCTAAAT